TGTGGCATGTGTAATTTACAAATATAATGTGTTACGTTTCCCTGTGAGGTCCTGGTGTCACGATGGTTTGATCGATAGCTCCGTCGTTGTGTCACTTGAATGGCTTATGATAGCCGCGGCTATCAAGTCCGAGGGCGGCAGCAGCAGCAGCAGCAGCAGGCTTTACTACTGCTGTTTACAGCCATGCAGTAAAAACACACAGCACTGTACGCCCTGCTGCTGCGCTACTCGCTGATCACTCTGCTCACTATGTGCACGATGAGAACAAGAGGCGCTCGCCTGCCTGGTGGCTCTTCTGCTCAACAGGGATCAAAGAGAGAGCAAGAGAAAGATATGAGAGGAAGTGAGGGAGGGGAGGAAGTAGAGAGTGAAAGAAGTACAGGACAAAAGACATGCGTGAAAGGAAAGAATGGCGGAGGGCTGGAGGAAAACAGGAGAGGAGTTTTGGGAGGAGAGGGAGAAAGAGGGAGAGGAAAGGGGAGTTGGTGAAAGTGAGGTGACTGAATGAATGAATGGAAAGATGAATGAACAAGTGAAACAGACCGGGTGACCGGGTGAGACAGACCGAGTGAGGGAGTGTGTGTGTGTGCGTGAGTGTGTGTCTGTGTGTCAAGTGAGTGTGTGTGAGCGAGTGGGTGAACAAGGGCAGCAGGACAAAGAGAGAGAGAGGGGGGGGACAGAGAGAGATTGAGGATGGGAGAAAGAGGGAGAGAGGATATGTTCAGTCAGAGAGGACACACTCCAGTGGCTGTGATTGAAGTATGGGCCAATTAACACGAGGAGCATTGAGCTCCAGCTGCACTCTTCTCTTCATTCCTCCACTCCCCCACACTGCCATATTACCCCGCATGACACACACACACACACACACACACACACACACACACACACAGGCATTGATACACTCACATATATGCACACTGTGGGCACCACACTGTGCTGGCACTTTATCTTATCTTTTACTATAGCACAGCTATGGACCCAAGGAAATGATAGAGGCTACATGCAGCAGTGTTCTCGAGAACACTGCGGTCTTAAATGTGGATGAATGGAAAAAAAAAAGAAAAGGGGAAAAAAATGGAGTCTTCATCTTCAGGGTCGGAATTCTTTTTCAAGGCACTCGCAGTGACTCACAGGGACGCTGCAATTTCTTCTAATGGTGTACAGTAGAGGATATATTAGCCTGCATATATTTCAGATGTTTTGTGTTGCTGCGGAATGCAGCCTGGGCTGATTCAGTGCAGCCCGAGCCATAGGCAGCAGGGAGCAGGTCCATTACTCTGCATGACAGAATGGAATGAAGCAGCAGAGCCCCGACGTGGGGTAAACACAACGCTGAACACTACTGCACTTCCACAACTCCACACTCCGGACTCCACAGACTCCTTCCCCATTCACAGTTCCCCAGCAGATCCGCTGCAGCACACGGTCTGGCACGCTGCCTCCATTGGAGTTCAGTGGGAGAGGGGCTCAGAGAGGCGTGGATGCCAACAACTGACTTCTACCCGAGCGGTTAACTCCTCTCCCGCGACTCACTCTCCACCGCAGGCGCTCGCTGCAGCTGTAGCATACAGTTGAGGGGAAGGAGGGGGATCTGCTACTCTAAAACATTGTGATTGTTCTCCTACCATCACACTGACACCAAGAATCAATTTTTCATTTTGTGTTTAGAGGCTATACAACTTTTTTTTTGTGTGTCTCTTTGGAGTTTGCAGGAAGAATATAGGCTTCACTGTAATCCTCTATAGAGGAATATACCTTCAAAGCAGTTGATCTGCCTTCAGCTACACAACACCGCAAAGACATTTTTCAGACCAGCGAAGCTGCACATGCAGTCGTCATTAATTCCTGTGTGTAATCACAGTGAACATATAATGCAGTGTGATGAAATGTTCAAGCGGAGATATGATGCGATGTGTTTTGATTGTGAAGTACTGACTGGCAATTTTGGAAGAGAAAGAGGAGACTGGCTCGCCTTCGCGAATGTTTTCTCTCTCATCTTCTTGATTAGCTGTCTCTGTCAGCCTGCTCTTAAGTACTCTGTAAATATTCCTGAAGGTGTCTTTAGTTTGCTTCTAACAGTCGTTGGCATGTACGCCAGCTTCTTTGGGGCTGTAAATGCCACTTTCTTTGTTTTAAAAAGACAAACTGAACAGGCTCAGACGGAAAATAATTACACTGTAGATACAGTTAGCTGCTTATTACAGTGATTGACAAATTGGGAGATCAACACTGTGCAGTACAAATGCTTTAATGTGAGTGCTGATATAATGATTTAGACAGCAGATGATGACTGAGGGTATATGCACCGTGGTGAGTTTTAAAGTTAAAAAAAAAAAAAAATCATCAAAGAATGTACTCTGTATGAAATCTGAAAGCTTTTCAAATCCGTCTTTTTATCTTTTGTAGTCGGTGCAGTCACATTCAAGAAAAGAAAACATTGCAATATTTATCAAACTTACACAAACATCCCAATCCCAAATAACCAAAATGAACATTGTCATCCAAATAATACAGTATCAGCGATGGTCAGATCCTGGCAATTCTGCTGTGACTATTCATGTCTCAATAACTAACTGATTCCTTACCCTGCTCAGGGAAAACTGACATCTACACACCTTTTGACTAATTAATCCCAATTTAAACTTTAAACTTTAAACTGTCTATATAGTTTAAAGTTTATATATATATATATCTGTCTATATATATATATATCTGTCTCAAAGACTGGAGAGGATATTTTTTTGTATAGAAGGGTAAAAAATATACAAAAATGTGAACATTTGCATTTTAACAAAAGATTCATTTATGGTGGGAAATAAAATGAAACCGTAATATCTCTCTTTTTCTCTCCCACACTCCTTTCCCCTCTGTGTGTGTGTGTGTTTCAGTGTGTGTGTGTGTGTGTGTGCGCGTTCGCTCGGTGTGAGCCGCCTCACTGCACGCTTTTTATGATTTAGTTTGCCGTATTCCTCAGATTGAAACACATAATGAACTATATAGTAAGATATATTTAGATGAGGATTTGATTATACTTTACTTGTACTTTGCTTTGTAGTGGCGAGCCTCCGTGAGATGTTGGCAGAGTACGCTCTACAGGAGAAGTGGATATTGTATATAAGAATACACTGTGTTCACTCTTCCAACCATGCTCACTGTAGTGGAATAGCGCAGGCTATTCCACTACAGGTAAACACCTCATGAGACGGAAAAGCAGTGATGGGCCTAACAGTTAATGGCTCAGAGAGTCAGCACAGTAGAATACAGCTGATGATGTGACTGTATTTCTGGAGCTTCATCTGTGGCTCTGTCCTCGTCTCTGTCCTTCCCATTCTTCCCTGTCACATCGTCTTCGCCTTAAAGAAAACAACACCAAAAAAAAAACTACAAAGCCCTGTTTTTCTCCCTCTCCCCTTCATTATTACTTCTCCTTTTGCCTCTCTCCTACTAACAGGGTCTGTCTCTCCCTATCTCTCCACACCTCCATCTCATTTTCTTACCCAAAACTATCCGCCTCCCTCTCATTCCATCTCATTCCACCGCTCTCTCCTTCTTTCTCTGTAACTCCCCACCACCACACACACGCACACACACACACACACCCACAGCTCTGTCACTCAAAACAGGATGTTTGGCATATTTGTTTAGGCCATACACGTATACACATCCCAGTAATCAATATTTCTTTTCCTGCTATTCTCCTCACATATTTTACGCCACCTCCACCATCCCGCTACACTTTGTCCTCCTTTTCTCCTTGTCGTCTCCTCTTAAACCTGGCCTCCGTCCCTCAATCAATCACTCAGTCCCTGAGTCATGTGCTCATTTCTTTGCTCCCCTTCTCTCATGCCTCCAGTTACTTTTTCTACTTCTTTCTTTTGTCTTCTTCTCTTTGCTGCTTTTCTTTTTCTATTCGGAAGCCTGATCAGGGTCGGCGAAATCGTCAGTCTGTGACAAAGAGCGGAGAGTCAGAAGAAGACAGAGCGAAAGACACAGAGGGAGGAGGAGAGGGGAAATAGAGGCACAGGGAGGGAGAGTGACTTTGGAGGGAATATTATGTCAGCAGGCCCCTGTTAATCAATGCAATTGTGTTTGGTACCTGAAGCCATGAAAATTGGGAGAAGAGACGGGGAATATGAAAAGACGGAGCACTAGAGGGAGCGGGGAGAAAGTGAGAAGGAAATGGAGAAAGGAAGGGAGGGCAGTTGGCACCAGAAGTAAATTGAAAATGATGTGTTTTCGTGTCTGTGTGGTCACATATTAACCCTGCTATCTCTCAGGTAGTCATTATCTTTCCATGTGGTTGTTTGTGCGTGTGTGTGTGTGTGTGTGTGTGTGTGTGTGTGTGTGTGTGTATGCTCACTGCATTAACCCTCATATCTCTCTATCATTAAGCTGCTCTGCGGGCGTAGTGTAGCCATGCATTTATCTTGCACATTCAAACGCTTGCATGCATTTGTCTGTGCGTGGATGCAGCTGTGTGAGGGCGAGTGTGTTTACAGTGATCTTAATTGTTGTTATCATTCATGCAGCACAATAACCACCTCCGCCCCATCTTTGTCTCCGTCTGCTATTAACTCTCTCTCCCTCTCACCCTCCTTCCCTCGAACGGCCAGTTTCAATTTTTCCTCATATTGTTCCTTCTCAGCCTGCAGCCTAAATAGCACCCATTTCATCTTCTCTCTCTCTTTTCCTTCCCTCTATTGTTTTTCTCCCCCGCTGCATTCCATATTCCTCGTCCAGCATTTTCTCCAGCCAAAGCTAACTTTTATTACCCCATGATTGGATTCAGAATTCATTACTCCATCTTGCCTGCATGCAATATCTGATCAGTTTCTTTCTCTCTCTCTTTCTTCACTCCTTCTCTCTCTCTCTGTCCACACCTGCTACTTTTCCTGTGTTGATTTGATGTTGTCTGTACTGGACGCTAAAAGTCTAACTAAATCTCTTCTTCTTCTTCCACTTCTTTTTCTACTCTTTGCTGTCTCTCATTCTTTCAGGCACCCTCTCTTAGTGCGATATATATCTGCCTCCCCCCCTCGGCAGGTTGCCATGGTCGCGATACCTACTCTCTCTCTCCTATTGGTCCTGGCAGAGTGGGCAGGTCTGGTGGACTGCTCCCCCCACCTCCTGCTCCGGCCCAGTCCGCGGGAACGTGATGCAGGGGCCATGATGAACTTCAACATCGCCGTGATCCACGCCGGTGCTACGGTGCAGGCCGAGGCGGCGGTGGCGGGGTCTGGGGGAAGGGTGCTCTACCCCGGCTTCGGCCGGGTATACGGCTCCCTGGGGGAGAGCGTGGTCACCCAGTGGGGCTCTGCTAACGTCATCTGGCTACAGGTTGGATACTGTCTCCTCTACCTACTGCTCATCCAGCCTTACTTGAAGGAAGGGAATAACAATGACCATCCATTATTCATACTCACTCCCATTATTTGAGCTGAATGAGCAACACAATGCTGCCGTTGTGTTGGCCCTGCTGAATGAGCGGGCGTCTGGCTCTGCTCTTTGACCACAGTTTGTATTGTTAGCCAGACATGTCATGCATGCTACAGACACTTTCCATATGAATAACACAAAGTGAAGACACACTTCCCCTGGTTAGTCAACTCTATTTCTCTCCCTGTCTTTACCCCCCTCTGTCTTTGTTCCTCTCTGTCTTCATGGCTTCTATCATCTCCCAGGTGAATGACAGTAGTCCTAAGACGGTGCTGTCCCAGCTGTGTGAGCTGCTGGCAGCGCGGCCCCTGCAGGGTCTGGTTTATGAAGAGGAGAGGCCCCCTCGCACGGCCTGGGGTCCATTGGCCCCAATGCTGGAGTTTGTCTCTGCGCAAACAGGACTGCCCATAGTGGCTGTAGGAGGGGGAGCGGGGCTGGGGAGGATGCCACAGGTAGGAGGAGGGAGGTTGGGATGGGGGTGGGAGAGTAAAGAGCGTAAAGTGTTTGCAGCTTGTGTGTGTGTGTGTGGGGGGGGGGACTGAAAGAGGAGAGAATCAGAGGAATACAAGGGGACAGATGTGCTAGTAGTGTCATTGTGTAGCTCCAAATGCGAGCGCCGGAACAATGTTAATTAGGTGTGTGCTGTATACGAAAGCAGTATGGATTGACAGCTCTATGAATGGAGTATAAAAGGAGAGCTGCTTATATTGCCATAACAACTTACAATGTCATAATGTCGCACATCCTCTCTGTGAAGAAAAGGTTTGGGCAAGTGCCGGTGGGACGGAGGGGAAGTTGAAGGTCAGGGTCGCTGATCTGCTGAAACTCTGCAGTGTTTGATCTGTAAATGGCACCAACTGGGCCTGTCGCTCTGCCTCTGATGTTCCTGGGTGGGAGGCCATGAGAAGACATGGGTGTGTGTATGAGGGAATATGTGTGTGTGTGTGTGTGTGTGCTGTACATTTGTGTGTATGCACCTGAGAAACTAATGTCACATGGTTTTCGCCACCATATGGGGGGAAAGGGAAACAAAAAGCTTTGCATTTGTGCTTACAAATAACTGTTTTAACCATTTACTCTTGAGGAATTAAATTGTAGCACTTTGATGAACTTCCTTTGAAGATGTACCCTCGCCTAGTCCTCACCCCCTCCCATCCCCTGAACAGACTTTTTAGAAACACTCCCTTCTGGGCGTCATAGGAGAATTTGTGCAACAATCCCAGCTGTTTCAGCCCTGCGGCTGCACGAGTGCTACTGCTCCATAAAAACTTCAAGCCCCGTGATGCCTCCATGTTGTGCATAAAGATGGAGCGGTCCAGAGAGTTGTAGTTCCTTGTAGTGAAAATACTGTCTGTTACTTACTCGTTGTATTGCAGCAGAATTTTAGATACAGTACAACTGCAGAGGATGAATTTTACAGTGAGATTTTAAACCAAATGTGCTGCTCTCTTTCCCAAATCAGGAATCAGGTTCCATCTTTCTCCAGTTCAGCTCCTCTACTGCCCTCCAATTAGAGGTCATCTTTGAGGTGCTGGAGGAGTACGATTGGACATCCTTTTCCGTGGTGTGCACGCGTCACCATGGCTACCAGGACTTCCTGTCTGTAGTGGAGGGCCTGACCGACGGCTCGTTCATCGGCTGGGAGAAGAAGAGTGTGGTGATCCTGAACGTGACCGACGACCCTGGGGGGGCACGCACGCGCAGGCTGCTGAAGGAGAACGAGGCGCAGGTGAGACAGGGGGGAGGGAGGGGGGAAAGGGGGGAGGAAAGGGGAGGAAGTGCTGCAAATCTCATTGGGGGCCCCTTTCTCACAGGTGGCTTCCGAGCTTTTTCCTTCCTTCTTCGTCTCTCCCTCTGTCCCTCCACATCTCTCTCTCCCCTCTCTCCTCTATCCCTCTGTTCTTCTCTTCCCCTCCCTCCCATCTGCCAAGGCATAAAGAGTTCAACGGTACAACACAAACCACGAGTCAGTCTGATTTGCTGGCTGGCATTGTTCAAAGAGTTATGTGCAATGTGCAATATAAGTTAACCACTTAACCTACAGTGTCCTTCTTGTTTCTACTTAAGTGGCTTTAAAGTTGGAAAAAACCCATCTTGTTCCAGACTGTCTGTCAGTATCACACACATCACACTGTAGCATTTAGCATCAGCTTGTTCCAGCTCTTCATTGAATCTGTAAATGATGTCGACAACGAGTGAAATATTCATGGCTGCACCCTTCCGATAAATGGAAATATATTATATGTCTTGTGCATTATGTTATACACATCTCCCCCCGAATTTAACTTGACTTAGTTGGTATTCGTGGCGACTCTGAGGTCTGTCTCTATATACACTGTGTCTACATTTTTGTCTTTGATATTTCGAATGCAAAAAGAACAAACTACATTTCAAGTTCTCGTTGATTCATTGATGACCAGAATGACTCGTGGTTTTGGCTTACCTCTAGTGTGTTTCATTCCTTCATGCCTGCTCCCTCTACTACCCCGATGCCTTGCTCGTTCTTCCCTTCCTTTCCTTCCTTCTTTCAGCTTCCAATCTCCCCTGCTCCTCATTTTTTTTTTAACTCCACTCTTACTTTACCTCCCCCCACCATCGTCCCTTAAACCTCCTCTTTGACCCCATGATCCTCCTGTTCATTTTTTCACTCCTCCGTGTGTTCCCCCCCCCCCCCTACCTCCCCTCGTGCGTTTCTTTGCCTGGAGACAGGCTCACTCTCCTTTGCTGCCTTCCTGTTCACCTCCATCTCTGTGTGGCTATCTTTCATTCCTTCAGTCTGTCCTTCTTGCTGCATGTCTACCCGGCCACAGACGCTCCATTGGCTTGGTACCGTCTGGGTTTCAATGTCATCGCTAACGTCCCAGCATGGCCACTGTAGCTCTGCGTGTGTGTGTGTTTGTGTCTGTAGTGTGTGGGTTTGTAATGGATTCCTTAGACTCCACTCTGCTCGTGTCACTGTTAATATAACATACTGCCTGCAGCAGGTTGCCTATACGCAGTGCTTGCTTTTTAACCCTCTTACTTTTCACAACAAACTCCCTTCTTTTAGCTTTTTACAACTGCAGGGCTAATAAAAGCTTGTGATTGCTTAGTAATGCTGTGTATGTTTGCATTACATGCTCTCTCTCTTTCTCTTTCTCTCTCTCTCTTTCTCTCTCTCTCTTTCTCTCCCTTTCTCTTTCTCTCTCTCTCTCTCTTTCTAATTCTCTTTCTCTCTCTTTCTCTTTCTCTTTCTCTTTCTCTCTCTCTCTCCTCTCTCTTTCTCTTTCTCTTTCTCTTTCTCTCTCTCTCTCCTCTCTCTTTCTCTTTCTCTTTCTCTTTCTCTCTCTCTCTCTCTCTCTAACTCTCTGTCTCACTGCCACATACGTGGTATAATGTCCTCTACATAGTAGATGGCTTGATGCAGGTCTCTGGGTCAATTTCTACTGAAATCTCTCACTGTCTATCTGTTGTTCCATTCCTCTTCCAGCTTCTGCCTTGTCAGTATTTCTTCTGCTCTCTCTCTCTCTCTCTGTATGTTCCTCTCTTTCTCCATTTCCCGTCTTTAGATATTGTGTGTGTCTGTTTATAACTCTGATTCTCTCCTTCCCTCCCTAATTCAGTCTGTCGCCTTCTTTCTCCTTCCTCTCCCCCCTCTGTCACTCTCATTCCCTGCCTAATTCACTGGAGGTTTATTGGCATACAGGCAGGATTGTTTTGCCAAGCCATTACAGTTCAAAATCCAATGAAGGCGCAGTCTCAAAATGTGCTTTCAGTCTGTTTCCCTGACCCCCCCCCCCTCCATGAATCTGTTTTCTTCTTCTTTTTTGTCCTTTGATTTGCCTTTTTCTCTTTTCTTCACTGTTTTATTTTAAATGCTCTTACTCTTTCTTTCTTCTTATGTATTTGTCCCCCCCCCCTTCCATCTTTCTGCTCAGCTCTAACACCTTAAAACCCTCTTTGGTCAATTTCTGCCCCCCTCCTCTCCCTCCTCTCCCTCCTCACCCCTCCTCACCCCTCCTTACCTCAGCACTTTCAGCTGAGAGCTCCTCCACTGTCACTGCTGTCTTTCTCTGTTGTCTTTCACTCTCTTTAATGTTTTCTTCTCTCTTTCTCCCCAGCCACACTCCATCAACCCCCCTTCCACTGTTTTTTGCAAATATCTCTCCAGGCCCGGATTTTACCAAAATATGTCATCCTTTGCTTTCCTTCACCACCCCTCCCCCCATTCCCCGTTCTCCAATGAGTTACTTTTCTCTCTTCCCACCTTTGATTACTTCCCTCCTATCCGCATCACCCACCATCTCCTGTTGTCTCCAGGTCTTTTCTCCACCCTGCTTTTAATAACGTATGTCAGTGTTTAGCCTCTTCCCCCTTAGTTTTCCCTCAGGTGTGTTTGGTCTTTAACTGCCACCCCCCTCCCTCCTCCCTGGCTTCCACGCCTGTACCTCTCTATCTCTCTCCTCTACCACTTACAGTTGTTTCATTTTCCCTTTCTTGTTTTACTGCTATTTTCATTATTCATAACTGTATCTTGTTTCATCAGGCCCAAGCTCATTAAGCACTGACCCCCGTTGCCTCCTGCACCTCCTGGTTAGCATTCATCACATGCGGCCATGCTGTCTCTCCTCTTTCTGGCGTGTCTGCTTCTCTCCCTGAATCATACGTCCAACTCCCATGAACCTTATCACATCAGCTTACCGCTATCTCTCCTCTTACCTCCGCCGGCAGTCTTGTTTTTTCTCGATATGGCCTTTTCTATCCAACCTCCTCCTCTCCCGTTCAGGTGCACCTCTGCTCCAGCTCTATCTTTCTCCCCTTGATTCTCCCACCCTCTGTCTCTCTCCACGTCTCCCCTGTCCCCTCCTTATCTCACTAGCGTGTATGTGTGTGTGTCTCCCCTCGTCCCTATTCCCTCCCTGCCTTCCTACTGTCCTCCAGGTACGTTTGCTGTACTGCTCCCAGGAGGAGGCTGAGCTGGTCTTTAAAGCCGCCTGGTCCGCCGGTCAGGCCGGAGCCTCGCACATGTGGTTCGCGGTGGGGCCGGCTCTCTCAGGTTTGAGCATGGAGAGCCTGCCTCGGGCTCTGTTTGCCGTGCGGCCCCAGGGCTGGAGGGACGAACCTCGCAGGAGGATTGCTCGGGGAGTGTCTGTGCTGACTCATGGGGCAGTGGCCATGCGCAAGGATTACGGAACCACGGGTGGGCCGAACTTTGTCACCAACTGCATGACGGACGCCAATCAGACCCAGAGACTGCGGGGCAGGATGAGGTGAGAGGGAGATAAGAGGAAAGAGGGAAGCTCTAAAGGGAAAATGTGAGGAGGGAAGGAAGAGAAATGCATGTTCGGGGGGGGCGTACAAGGCCATTGGCAGGCTCCGGACAAAATATATTGAGACAGCATCAGGTGTATTCTGTGAAACGAGTTGGTTCAGTGCCAGAATGAGCTGGAAGGTATACGGGTGGAGTCGGTAGCTTCAGTGTCAGAGAGCAGGCACAGAGGGGATATCTGAATTTGGAGTTGGCTATCATCCATGCAAAATAGATGTTGTTGGTGCATGTAGTTGTGAGTTGGCAAAATTACCCCAGCGTCTGTAGCAAGTGGACCATGTCTCATGTATATTAATGAGCCGGCTGTAATATATTCCTTGTAGGCTGTGCAAACAGGCAGCATCACACTCTAACAGGTAGCCTAAGTGGTTCTGGTTATCATCCTTGTTCATTTTTAATGCCATTCATCCTTGCTCCACATACACACCACACATATGATATCGAGAAGTTTGGTCAGTGTGATAACCTAAACATGTAATTAATGAGTTTATTTACAGTGATTTTTGTAAATGAAGCACAGCGCAGACCGTGCGGCAATTAAATGGAAATGATTAATGGACTCTTCCTTCTTTGTTTATAAATAATGTCCAACACCAGAGGAGCAAGTTGTTTTTATTTTATTTTATCTTTTGCAGTGCTACCTGCTGTTCACTGTCTGTAACTACAAGCTGCTCTCAATACGAGGCTTTCTGTCACGTAAAAAAAAAAAAAAGCTTTCAGGTTTTGTGTTTTGATGCCAGCAAGATGACACGAGGAGACAGTTAGAACGTCTGTCCTGTGTGATTATCAGACAAACTACAGAGCTCACAGGCGATGCAGAGAGCAGCAGTTGTTTGACTTCAAAGATCCTGACAATTCTGTGTGTCTGATCATTTGTCTGTAGATTTGATTAACAGACAAGCCCTTGCTGTCACCATAGAGGTGCTGTGATTTATTTTCAAGTGGGAAGGCTCACTGTTGCATCAAAAACAACCTTATGATTTCTATTTTCTCCTCATTTCCCCTGAAACAATTAGTTAATTAATTTACTAATATTACGTGTTTTCTGTCATTTACATCCATTGCCATACAGGTATTTCGGCAACATCACACTTGGTGGTCGAGACTATTCCTTCAATGGTGACGGTTACCTGTCCAACCCCTTCCTCGATGTCATTTCCTGGACACCTGGACGTGGATGGGAAGATGTAAGGACATGACATGAGTTCTTTATGTCTAACCATGCGCTCTGAGTGTCATTCGAGAAGAGAAAGGGGCATGCTTTCTGTTGAATCACACCATATACTCGAGCGATTACTATTTAGTTGTCTCCACAAGCTGTTTGAATCTTGGGATTCATGAGAAACTGTAATTTTGTCCTCTGTGAATAACCGCAAAGACAACAGGGCCTAGCAATTGAGCCCAGAGCAGGTTTTTTGCTGATTGGTTCTCGAGTCTTAATCTCTCCATGTGAACTGGAGGAGCAGATCCGTGCTGCGTTGGCATCTGAAATAGGGATATAGACCTGACAGTGAGAACAGTCAGGTCACATGGGTTCATGTTCATGTAAAGTTCACTATGGCTATCGGTGCCCGAGGCAGAGGAGAGAGATTGGCTGCTGACTATTTGACCGTGCTTTGTGTGCTCCTGCTGTGCCTGTTCAGTTTCTGCTGTCTCTCTCTAACGCTGATATTTCCTCTCACACAACACCAAAAATGCACTCACACACACACACACACACACACACACACACGCGCACAAAGCACAGAAACAATTGACAGAAGTCTAATGGTCCCAATTTGGATAACTGATCAATCATTTAAGTCACTTATTCAGCAAAAATGACAAACATTCTGTCTCGCTTATAAAATGTGAGGATTTGCAAATTGAATATCGTAGGACTGTTGGTTTGACAGAACAAGCATCACCAAGGCCTCTGGGAAATTGTAATGGATCAGTTAATGAATGAAAGAAATCCCCACAAGGTTAAAGGATAGGTTCATATGTTTTCAAGTCGGTCTTAATACACTACGGCATGCCCATATGTAGCTTTAAAGATGTATCTATGTAATCTTCGTCCTCTCCTGGTTGTGAAGCAGTACCTTCCTGTGCGATTCCATGGTAAGTGATGGAGGACAGAATCTACAGTCCTAGTTTAGTGCAAAAACATGTTTTAACGTTAAGGTGAAGCGGAATTTTGTATAAAAAGACAGGAAGATACCCACTTGATTTAACAAAGACTGTTTGAGCTTCACGTAGCTTTGGTCAAATTTTGTAATGCATTTCTATATAGAAAGAGGGCTGTGGGTTCCGTCCCTCATCTGTTACATCATTGGTGGAGACGCTTCACGACCTTTATGGAGAGTAAGAAGTCTTTAGTCTTTAAATGTGCTGTAAATACGGATACGAGATGCTATTTAGACGGACTTAAAAAATGTGAACCTGTAAGTTGCAGCCCTGCAGTCATACACCTCTACTCATAGATTTCATTCTTGGTCATTTTACTGAAAGTAATGCTCTGATGTTGCTCTGATCAATAGTTTTGTTCTTCTTCGCTGCCTGCGTTTTCAGTTTTTTTACCGTGAAATTAAATGCAGATGTAAATAGTGCTGAAGATTTCTGGGTGTCTGTCGTTACCATCTGGTTGTAGACCCACCATTGTTTTGTGTGTTTGAGTGTCTTGTCAACATAACTGTGTGCGCGTCTAAAGCACCAGTACCCCTGGGGTGTCATGCATATTCTATTAAGCTGAGGTTTCTTGAGAAATCCTTAATTCGAAGCCTTGTCACCTGTTGGAGATGTTTTCCCTTTAATACGCCGGGATTTTACCCTTGTCAGTGTCAGAAGAGACAGCGATGCTCATTTTCTCAACCACACACCACCGCCTCGACACCACACTGCACATGCACATGCATAAAGACACGCAGTACTCTCAGACCATACACTCTGCAACAGCACATAATCACAAACACTGCACTAACACAAACACTGATGCACCCACACAAGCTTACACACATACATACACACAAGCATAAATACACACATTGGTGGTTCTCAGCCTCCCGCTGGTTTTAACAGCCCACCAGAGTCCAGTCTCAGTGTGTCGTAACATGCTGACTCCTGCCATATATCTCAAATCCCTTTCAATTAGAAGCTCCTGCGCTGGTCCTTCGACCAGAGTACAAAACCCGCCCACACACACATGCTTAGAACTCACATGCAGACGTCCACATGTGTGTGTGCGTACAAATGAGGGCACATACCGTATGCTAACACACATATGCTTACACCCTTCTTGCATAAACCCTATTGCACTATTGCACACACGCACACAATGAGGATAAGACGCCTGTATCTGCCTATTATGCACATCCACGCTGTTGGCTCTCCCTGAATATTTAATGTTCTCTTTACAATGACTGCACCATTACCTAGCCTGAGAGCACCCAGCTTAGCTTACTGAAACACTGCAGACTAGTACTGAAGATTGTCCAGCATTAGCATGGCTTGTTTCAGCTGCGGATACAGCACACGGAGCTAAATGTTCAAGGATATCACTGTAATTTAATGAACATGCATTAACGCCACTCATGGCTGCTAAAGGATAGGTTTTTCGTTAAAAGTGGTCCCCGGCCCTCAAACTTTTCCTCAAAACCAGAATACTTTCTCTGCCTTCAATTCCATCCATTTGAGTAGTCTGAAGTGGTGTTTTTTGGCTGTTCTTCTCCTGACGTTTGCTTGTGCATTTTTCTGGGTATTTGTCTGACAGAGAGCAGTGTGTTCTCCTGTAGGCTCTATCTGTTTTCTGTCTGTGTTCCCTGAGTGTGTTTTGATTGAACGTCTGATGTAGAGCTGCGGTCGAAGTGCAGTCGAAATACTGTCATTGTTGCCACCTCCTCTTCTCCCTGCTTTTACACTGGCTTTACACAGAAAGGCAGGCTGATTGGAGCTGCCAAACTTTGCGTTACTTCACTGGCCTGCTAAAGTATTTTATATATAGATGTATGTTTGTATGTGTGTGTCTGTGCATCCATATGGATGTATATATTATGTGCATGAGTGTACAGTATGTGTGCACACTTTCTTCTGTGTATGTTGCCTCAGTCACACTTGACGAGACTTTTATCGGGTGATCATGACGTGTGTCAAGTGATGTTACAAGACGAAGGTTCACAACAAAAAAACAAAAACAGACTGAATCTTTGGGTGTGGTTCTGCCTTACGTTGCTCTAAAAAGTCTGAATATGCAAATATCCAGCATCCAACACTTCCAGAGAGCATATAAACAATGCAAAAAGAAGGGGGAAACAATGATACAGCCAAAGGGATGCTTGACTGACATTTTTGGGTCAACAGTGGACACAGAACAATGTGCTCACAACATTATCCCCGGACAGATTTTAAGAATCATACTAAAATGGCATCTGTAGACATGAGTCTACTCTCTGCACATGTGCTATTTCAGTGTGTAAAAATGCTTTTTGACCAGAGCGTGTCACATACAAATTTGGCTCCAGGCTATTAAAAAGCCTCCAGGTTAGAAAAGTGTATTTCTGCACAGCTACCTCAGTAAGTCCCATTGTTTGTGCAGGGACGAATTGGAGAGTTACTTGCTTTCATCCTTCCCAAAGCCATTATATGTAATTACATGGCAATGTCTAAATTTGACACTAAAGTAAGTGACTAGTACAAACAAATCTTGATAACTACTGTAATCCCATCAATCAGTGTAGCCTTTGCACAAACGTTTCAGGTAATTGCTCCCAGCCCACATAACAATGAATATATAGGGCCTGGTGTTCTACAAATTATTTTCCTCCATCTGTGCCATGCAAGGGAGGACAAAATGAAGCCTAATACACTGTTTATTGGGCATTTGTATGAGACTGTATAATGTTGTAGGTGTTAATGTGTGTTTACCCTCTCTGTGTCTAACTAAATGTATAAGGTTATGCATTTTAATCAATTTATAATTTAAACATTATATTACTTTATTTACTCAAACGCAAATGTTATGGGTTATATTTGATGTAGTTACTCAGCCAACCTACAGTATCAGGAGGTGTTCACTGAGCATCAACAGCTAGCTTAGCTCTGGTAACTATACACAGCACTGACTGCATAAGTCCCATCCTCGAGTAAAGCTGCAGGGTTCACACAGCCTCCAACTTTGAACAAAACCCGATGATTTGAGAATTTTGGCTTAGAAGATATCGCAGATGACACAACTTGGAATTACCAATGTTGGGTAACCATATCACTGTAAACAACTTAGTAAGTAATGTTACTGCCCAAAACAGAATAGAAGGTAACTTCTTAACAGGTTACTTTCGGATTTTAGACACTTTATCCCTTCCCTCTCACATAGAAACAGCTTCATTGGATTATTAGTCAAAGACTGCAGAACAGCAAGTCCACCCTGTTTCCAAATATGTGACACAAATTGATTTCTGTCATATATTTGAAAAAGAAAAATGTTGTTTTCATAACTTGAAATGTTATATTCATTTGATTAGATTAGATTTTTGATTTCAGTGTCATAAACAACAAAAACAACAGATCTATCCAAAAAGCATTAACAACAAAAAATAAGAAGTAAATTAGATTCAATTGAAATGTTGAAGAATGACAGGATGAAAACACTAATAGTGAATAAAACGTATTTCCATAGTGGTCCTCACTGTAACAACATAGTCTTCTGTGCCCCTACTACATTACAGACTTAAGTTGAAGATGTGACATGAACATGTAATTAGTATCACTCATTATACAAATAATACGTTTCAAGTAAAATGCAAAGTACCTTTTTTTTGTACTGTATCTTGAGACAAGGCTAAATTGTGTCTTTTTGATAGTTGCTCTGTGTTCAATATGTTTGTTGAGATTACCTGTGTTTGTGTGCTCCACCTCTCTGTAATGTTTTGCTTTTCTCCATTCCCCCAGGTAGGCTGGTGGGAGAACGGCGTGCTGAGGCTTCGATACCCAGCCTGGTCCCGCTATGGGCCATTCCTTAAACCACCTGACGATGCCCAGCACCTGCGCGTTGTCACGCTGGAGGAAAGGCCATTTGTCATTGTGGAGCTGGCAGACGCCGCATCCGGGACCTGCATCCGGGACTCAGTGCCCTGCAGACGACCACTTAATGCCAGGTTTGAATATTTTGGGATGTAAGACAAGGATGTGTTTTATGTAGGATTTGATGTTATTGACTGATTTAACCGAAAACTATAATTTTCAGAAGCGGTAATGAAATGAAAGAAAATTCAGAGAAATCAAGGAGAAAAAAGAATAGTATAGTCTCTCTACTGTATTTAACAGTGTTGTGAATGTAGTTCCTAAGCTCTCATGATGCCATCCAATTGAGGTGACATCAATCACCTATCAAAACTGTGGTCTCTTCACTCCCTGGCCATAATCAATAACAGACTGCTCTCCAGAGGATCAGTGGAATGACTCAGGAGTCTGAAATCAGATATAACCGCAGTGGAGCTTTATGGTTCATCAGCTTCTGAGGGGATGACAGCGCCTATCCTACACTGGTCGATCAAACCTGTCACCAAATGCCGGGCCACAAAATACCCCCTCTGTGACCATTTCCCTCTGTTTTGCTCCTTTTCCTTTCCTTTCACACTATTACACACCAACCAGGATGCAGTTTAGTAGGCTTTTTGTTTGACACTTTTACGTAGATGTTCTACTTGTTTTTTTCCTCTTTGTGACTCCTTCACAGTGCCATCCATGAAGGTGTGGCTCCCATGAAGCAGTGCTGCAAGGGCTTCTGCATTGACATCCTCAAGAGATTGGCCAAGATTGTCGGCTTCACCTATGACCTTTACTTAGTGACCAATGGGAAACATGGGAAGAAAATTGAAGGGGTTTGGAACGGCATGATTGGAGAGGCAAGTCTTTGCTAGTGTGCGTGTACGTGTACGTGTACGTGTACGTGTGTGTGTGTGTGTGTGTCTGTGTCAGTGTGTGCCGGTGGTTATGCTTGTCTGCCTTTTTGAGCAATGTGTTCTCAATGTTGATCCCTTGTCACTTGCGTATGTCTGTGAAATTCTTTTGTGTGTGAGTTTATATTTGTGCCTCTGCATATTTTGTGTTGCATTTTTAGTGTTGCAACAAGCCACATAGCATTCCTCTGCCTATTCTCATGTGTCCTGGATGACCAGTCAAACACTATGTCACATCAAGCGCTGTGAGAGTTATGGCCACTTAACCACTGCCAGCAATCAGACAGCTGCCATTTATTACATGCACACACACACACACAACACACACACACACACACACACAGACAAATGTGCAGACACAAACACTGTAATAGAGGGGGAAAAATGCAGTTACACAAATTAGACTGAGAAGCATGGTGGCTAACATATGCCGAACACGCACTCTCCTGCAAACACTTCCCCACAGTATACTTATCTGCAGAGACACATAGAAGCACAAAGACTCACACGTTGTTAGACACCCCCTGGCTAGTTGTGATTAGTCCTTGATATTTTCTCAGCAAAACACACCAAGGTTCATGATACACAGAGATGCTGGCAGAAAAAAAAGAACAGGCACACACACATACTGAGATCGATACGGGGGGGCTGATGTTTCATTGAAGCGGCCCGCTGTTTCCATCTTTGTCCCAGAGGGAACTTGCCAAACGGCAGTTGTCACGGGTTCCAAAACAGTTCCACTGCGCTCTCCTGCTCTATCATTTATAACTTGAGCCGGGGCCAGAGCTGTCTGTCGAATCTATTTTCACATGCAAAAGGCCACTTGAGTTTTGTTTTCTAAAACTAATGTCTGTCTTTTGATCAGATGTTCCAAAGCTTGACAGTCTTTGATCAGGTAATCCAGAGACTTGGCAAAGTTGAGAGAGGGGGGTGGAGGGGGGGGTGCTTGGCTTTCCGCTTCACTTCATTTTTCTGCTGATTTGCTCTGAAGAGCGGATGTGCCATGTCTAATGTAGATTAACATTTCACTTGGACAATCAGCAGACACAGCGGTTTTCAGGTTTTTCTAGATGGTGGCAGGGAGGAGAAGGGCCTTAGCTCATTTTGTATGCTAAAGAGATGCACAAGAGACAAGTGTTCAGTATTTGTACCAGATTGAATTCTTGGCCTTTCTCATGCAGGCCCATTTGAGGATGTACAAAGGGTCAGGGTGCAGAAATGTCACCATCTCACCTGGAAATAAACCTTAGTGAACTGTGAAAGATTGTCTTTGTCTTTCTGTCCCCGCCACAGGAATTACCCATAATTAGATTTCTCTCTTGTCCCATTTAGGTGGTATACAAGCGGGCCGACATGGCCATTGGCTCGCTGACTATCAATGAGGAGAGGTCAGAGGTCGTAGATTTCTCTGTCCCTTTTGTGGAGACGGGGATAAGTGTCATGGTCTCCCGAAGCAACGGAACTGTATCACCCTCCGCTTTCTTAGGTAAGAGGCTGTGTTTATGTGTGGCGCCTAGCTGATGTACAGAATCTAATCTAATCGTAAAAGTGTTGAGTTTGCACAAAGAGCCTCGGTCTTTGGCTGCTGGTCCTTACATCTAGATTAGCCGTTACTTTTTCTTAGCTGCTTGTGTCTTCCCAACTTGTAGTTTCACTCCGTCAGCAGACTCAAGGCTCCAGTGGGAGAGCAGTTATTGGCCTATAGACTGCATTGAGGTGATTGTTGAAAGAAAAACAGTGTTTATGGACTTCTGGAGAATATGTTTTCTCCAATGGTTTCTATTTTCTCTGCATACAACAAGGCTCATCTCTGTGTATATAGCACACAATGTGCCAGGTTTATGAAACTTTATTGTCCCCTCTATTGATAGTAATAATGATAATTTAATAATGCAGCACAAAACCGCCCTTATGTTATGTGTTGATTTAAATCTTCTCTTGTTTCCGTACAAAGAGCCCTACAGTCCAGCGGTGTGGGTGATGATGTTCGTCATGTGCCTGACCGTAGTGGCTGTGACCGTCTTCATCTTTGAGTTCTTCAGCCCTGTGGGCTACAACCGCAGTCTCCAGAATGGCAAGAGTGAGTGATGGATCTCAGCTGTCTGTCTTACCCAGTCTGATGGATGGGTCTTCATTGCCGCATGGATCAAATGGACAAACATTGAGCACATTCCTGGAATGTGGTGGAAAGAGTTCAAAGTCAAAATTATAATTATAGCGTGATAATTAACTTTTTTGCTTGTATTGAGTTTGCTTCATCCTGTCTGATTGGTCAGTTGTCACATTCAGAATGAACCGAGTGACATTTTGACTCTGCTGCCCTGAATCCTTAACTGCGAGTGTGGCGAAGAGGAAATTATACCTACAGTATGTTGAACTGCATCCAAGTATTCTCGATATTGAAACAGCCATTTATTATTCAAGAGCATAGTTTGTACCCCTGTGATATTCAGTATGCCTGATGCCTCGGTCCAATACCCAACCCGACTTGCCTATTTTACTGCATGATTGCTGTGCTCTCCATAATTTTACCTCTCTGTCATCCTCCCATATATCCCTCTCTTTCACCCTCCTCTCTCTCCTTCCTTCCTCCTTTACTCCTGTCGTATAAAGGAAGTGTTTGAGCCCTTTGAATGGGGATTTGCACCGTGTGGTTTAATCATTTGTAAGATCACGTAGCAGCTGAATTGAATGCTGCCATCCTCGAAATGTATAGTCACCGCCTTTGTGCTTCACTGTCAAAAAGCCCGCTAGGTATTTTAATATACAGTAAACCTGTTTTACAGATCATTAGGGGAAGTTTAATTAGAATCAGCTGCTTCATCTGCAGTCTGACGCTACTGAATACTCTATTGTGCGGTGTACTGGCTGGATTGCTGTTGTAGAAAAAAGTTATTGTATCAACCACTCATTACACTCTCTTTCTTCTCCCTCTCTCTCTTTACCTCGTCATCATTTTGGACAGAGGCTGGAGGGTCTACTTTCACCATAGGAAAGTCTGTATGGCTTTTGTGGGCTATTGTCTTCAATAACTCCGTGCCAGTGGAGAACCCCAGAGGAACCACCAGCAAAATCATGGTGCTGATCTGGGCTTTCTTTGCTGTCATCTTTCTGGCCTCCTACACTGCTAACCTGGCTGCCTTCATGATCCAGGAGGAGTACATTGACACAGTGTCTGGCCTCTCGGACAAGAAGGTACCTCATTGCTTGAATACTGATTAAGTAGGGAGAGCAGAAGGAGAATTAAAGTCTTAGATTGAGCCAAATCCTGTGCATTTGAATGTTAAATTGATTAAAGCACAGGAATTTAGAAATGAATAAAATCTCATTTTCTGTAACTCAATTACCGCAGTTCTCGAATACTTTAAAGACAGTTCTAAATGCTACTTTAAGTCCAAACACTGCTCTATTTTAAAAGATATGACTGTGCACAGAGTGTTGTAAGTTAGTCTGGAAAGTGGACAGAAATAGGTCAGACAGATTGGTGCACAGCCTGGTGTGTCTCATGCCCCTTCCGTCTCCCTCCCTTGCCTCCCTTTGCTCCGCTAGTTTCAGCATCCCGAGGAGCAGTACCCACCTCTGAAGTTTGGCACGGTGCCCAATGGGAGCACAGAAAAAAACATTCGCTCCAACTACCCAGACATGCACCAGTACATGGGCAAATACAACCAGAGAGGGGTGGAGGATGCCATACTGAACCTCAAGACCGGGTCTGTCTGCTACCACTTAAGCATTTTCATTCCCTCACATTTACATGTATCCTGCCAGATCTTTGTCTTTCTCCACATGCTTTCACAAATTATAGTTTATTAGATTAAGGAAGTTGTTAAAATTGTTCACGCTTTCCTCAGGCAACATTAACTTATATTGTTGTTTGATTGAGACATAAAATGTACAGTATATGCCTGTATAAGCTTACAAGACAACAACCAAGATCACAACATTTTAAGTACTGATCCATTTCAAAAGACCTAATTTACAAAACAGATTTACCTTACTATAAAGGGTACAAGATACTCTTTAAATAATTGTTTCCAAAACAAAAATCTTCTTAAACTCAACTCAACAAATATATATATTTCTTTAATATTTTTTCCGCTGTACAAGGTGATGAAAGGTGGTAATGAAAATACGTAGAATATGATGAAATTTGTTTAATAAGTTCTTTTCAAGTTTGACGTGATTAGTGATTAGTTTAATAACAATTATTTGAAAATGGCATTGGCTGCTGAAATGGGATGAATCTCTACTGCTATTCAGATGCAGGTGCGTGCAAATGCAGTGCTACTAAATGGTCCAAAGAAGATGGTTTGCAGTTGTCTTAAACCCATACTGACTACTCACCATAAACATAGGATTTCTTGACTACTGTATGTTTGCTGAAACAGCAGTTGACCATACAATCCCACCACAGGGTCCATACAAACCCTACAGTATTTACTGTATTTCCATCAACCCATGAGAAATCACCCAACATGTATTGGTTATTATATGACTTTGTTTCTGGCGGAGTCATACTGCCATTCTTTTCCATGATTTTTTGTTCACTCTCTCACTAGCAGGCCATAACACACAGTGACATTTTTTTCAACTCTGACTAACATTTCACATCTTTTGTCACACTCCCTGCTTTCCTGCACAGATTCTCTCACCTTTACTTTCTCTCCACCTTTACCCACACACGCACACAAAACACATACAGTGCAAGCAGCATTTCCCTCTTCAGTTTCGAGGAGAATCTCTATCACCCGTCATGTGTTGAATAATCCCAGTTTACTTTACCCTAAGCCTCTGTCATCATTTCTCCCTCCCCATTGCCTTGACACCACAATTATAACTCTGTGTTAACATGCACAGAAATGAGAAACTCTCTTCCTTAGTGCTTATCTTTCCTTTCCTCTCACGCCTCATCTGCCCTCTTATCTTACCATTTCTCTCTTTTCTCTTACTCTTTTTCGGTCCATTCTTTCCCCTCCCAGTGTGCTTTCTCCGTGTGTCTGTATTTAAACTTTATAATCCTCATCACTCTCTGGCTCTTTCCCATGTCTTTTCCCCCTGAAGTGTGTAAATCTTTCCCCCCTCTCTCTGTCTCCCTGTCACTGTGCTCTTCGCACCGTATAAATCCCCATCTTCCTCCCCTCCGCCTCCCCAACCACCACCTTCCCGCTCCCTCTTACTCACACATCTTTCCCTGATCTCTGCCTTATTTTATTCTCCTTGTGTTTTCACTCTTTTCACCAAGCCTGCTTTACTATTCCACCCATCCTCCCTTTTTCTAGTTATGATTTAACTTTTCATGGCCTCTCTATCATTCTGTGCGCCTGTCTGCAGTATGTTTTTGCACCCTAACTCTCTTCCCAGGTACATCACAGAGATCCACCTTTATACCTCCTCCCCTGCCTGTATCTCCATCCCTCCGCTCCCTCTCTCCCATTAAATGATGAATGAATTCTCCCTTGATCCCTTTACAGGAAACTGGATGCTTTTATTTATGATGCTGCAGTATTGAACTATATGGCCAGGAAGGACGAAGGTTGTAAGGTGAGTACTAACCCATGCAGGCACTTTTGCTTACATACTAGAGTCATGTATATTTGTTTCTTGGTCAGTTTTTTTTTTTTTCTTTTTAATATCTCCACATTGTCCTTTTTCTAAGGTGATGACCATAGGCTCGGGGAAGGTTTTTGCCACCACAGGCTACGGTATCGCCCTGCACAAAAACTCACGCTGGAAACGTCCTCTTGACCTGGCCCTTCTGCAGCTGGTGGGAGATGGTGAGAACTATGGGGAGGGGAGGGAAGAGAGGAAAATAATTAGAACAATGGAGGGGCAAAGGGAAGGTTACGGGTAAAATGACAGCGCAGAGAAACGAGCGACAGAGTAGCACAAGGGTGGGGGGTGGATGGAGGACACAGGGGGTAGATGAATGAGAGGATGTTGTGAAGTGGATGGGGGGGGAGTACAAGGTGTGGAGAGAGCGATGGCTGTAAGGTGTTTCAATTGTGAGGGAATAATGGAGTGTATGAGGGGGCTGATGGTGATGGTTAAGAGATTTGTAGGTATCTTTATTGGCTACTAGAAAGGAGAGGAAATAAAAGGGGAGGTGGGAGCAAGAGGAATATTATTTGTTGGCTGCAGACATTGCAGACATTACTTGATTCCCCCGTTTTCCCTCCTCTCAATCTATCAGACTTTCACTCTCTTTCCCTTCTTCCTGCTTGGGCTTATAAATGGAAAAAAAAACTGGGATTTACGTGTGTGAGTCAATGTTGCAAAAAGAGATGATCACAACTTGTGTGGTGACCGATTTACACTCATTACAGATTAGCTGATCCTGACTCAGGAAGTGAGAAAATACATAACCCAAGAGAAACACCTGAAAATACCCTGAAATGAGTGCACTGAAGCAAAAAGATATATGAAAGAGATCAGATAATTGATTATTAAAAAATATGGGCGCATGATTAATATGCTGTTTGTCTGCTATATACACTTGTGTCTAGGATAAATCCATGCGAGGACGGTTGCTTGTTTTTGACAGACAGAATCTGTTTTTAGCAATAGTTGTCAGTACACTAATTCTTGATTATCATTTTACACAGTTCGCCACACGCATTTATTGTCTCAATCGGATGCTGCTTGTTTGGCTTTTCCTTGTGTTTTAAATCAGCTTTGCTTATGGCGTGGCGGACAAAGCCCTTTAGCTGTTTCTGGCACACGGACACTTCAGCTGCTTACACACTGACAATGCCAATTTGGTGCCAAGATCTATTAAATAAGAACGGCGTCTGGAGCTGAATAGTTGGACCCGGACAAGGTTGTGTGTGTGAGTGTGTGTGTATGCAAGAAAGCAGAGAGCCCAGACAGCCTTGACATGCTATGTCTGTTGTTTCTTTTAATTCGTGGCACATTCCCTTGTCCTTGCTTCTGTTCTGTGTAGCAAAAGCCCTTAAAATCAGCTGTGTACGCTGGATGGATAGCTACAGGCTGGCATTGGATGCTGAGGGTTCAAGTTGTAGGCAGGCATTATTGGAATGGATTACTAAGGAAGAGGATTAGTTTGTTTCGATGTAGGGGGGCGGGGGGGCTCACATTCAGCGTGCCCTCAAAGGCTGCATCTCAACAATCGCCCTGCGGCTCAAGGACTCGGCATCACACCTTCAGCCGAGCTAAATCATGTCACAGTGTTGCATCATTATGTACCATGCCATGTTGAATCATATCATTTTACAACTGCATTAGAGGGGCACTAGAGAAGAGTCCGCCACTGCTTTGTCAACGCTGTGAGTGTATTGTGTGAGTGTATTACCTCTGGTGATTCATACCACGACTTTAGAGAAGGACCATTGATCGCACTACAGCTTGTATCGTGATAAAGGCAAAACTGCTGAGTGGCGAGATTTGCCTTTTCCTTCTTATCAGATCCACTTCTATTTTTTTGCATGGTGTCAGGATTTTGATTCCGAGAATATATTATTCAGTGAGTAGATATTTAGAAATATTGAGAATATGGGTTTGCAGATCTTGGCTGGAAGGGTGTTGTTGTTTTTCAGAAATCTTGCAATGAATGCCGAGAGGTTTGTCATGTTATGATAAAAGCACGGGATTATACGGGTCATGGTTTACTGCTCAACAACTGTTGAGCTCAGCATCTCTGGACATGTCTGGCATCATGCCATATCTGGCAAAATGCAAGCATGCATGCAGGCACTTGTACATTAGCATACACACACACACACACACACACACACACACACACACACACACACACAAATACAGTTTCCTTTATTAAATAATGTCTTTGTGGTAGATGCCAGCTCTGTGTTTGCAGTGAGCCATCTCTACCTGACCTGACCTGCCAGAAACGACAGAGGTGGAGTGTGGATTTGACACACCTGTCAGATTTGGCAGGACTGAGCTGGCTGCGACTGAGAGGTAGAGACAACTGCCATCACAAAGGCCTAAGGGAGGGAAGAAACCGGCACGGTGAGAAAGAGTCAGATTGTGAAAGAGGGAGACGAAGAAGCACAAGATGAATCACCGGAAGTCAAATGGCAGGAAAGCCAGGAGATGAGACTTAGAGCTTAGAGAAAGGATTCGACTGGGTCTTGTGGAGTGGAGGACAGACATGAGAGTACCTGTTTATCTGTACCCTTCACTAAGACACTTGCTGTTTTCACATCAGACTCCTGTTTGGACACACAGCTGCTACTGAAGGTCAATGACACCGTTAAATCCTCTTCAATGGGGCTATGCTCCAGACTTAAAAACAGACCTTTGTGTCTTGGAATGCGTGTGTGTGTATGAATGAATGTGAGACAGGGAGTTGTTACCTGAGTCTGCCAGTGGGCTGCAGTGGCACTGTGTCCATCTGTTGCTGTAGCTGGAGGCCACGGCTGATTGGCTAATGATGTTCTACAGGAGACACATTAGCCAGATCACACAGATGACTAGGTCGGCTTCATCTACGCTACGCAAGCACGGCTAATGATGGCACAAATGAAAAGCTAAAGCTTGAGTTTTCGCAGAGCAGTGTAGTGTTGCGAGTGGATGCTTGACTTGTCAGCTTTTTAACCCTGCTTTAGCAGTTTTATTTAAAAATAGTTCAGACACTGTAATATGCAATCAAATGCAACCTGCAGACCTGGTAATTGCAGTGCTGCTCATCTTCTATTGGTGTTCGTGAAACATTATGTCATTATGAGTTATTTTGGAGAATACGGCTCTTTAATTGCATCATGAATCATACCCTGCATCTTCTGGCATTACTATGGTTACACCAGCAGCCCGCGCAGCCAATCACAGGTTTAACAGGGCAGCTCGGATTCGGTAGGCCAGTGAGATCATACATGAAAAGGCAGAGTGGTGGGTAAAGTGGTCTTGGCTGGTTCCTGGTAGTTTAACAGAGTGGAATCTTGAATCCCCCAGAGCTTAGCACCTTGATGGAGATTCTGACCATCCCTCCAGCACAATTAAATGATTATGATCTTCTCCCTCTGCCTCTGTCTCTGTCCCTTCTCATCGTCTCTCTCTCTGTCTCTCTCTGTCTCTCTCTCTCTCTTTCTCGTCAAATTTTTGCCAATTTCTCTCCACTCATCCTCTCCAAACAGGAGTGTTCCCGCTGTTTGTCATAATGACACAATCTCAGCCTCTCGTCCTCCATCTCTGCTTCCCTTGTTCCAGCTCCCTCTAACTCTCTCTGTGTCTCTGTCTGTCTCATTTCCCCTGATGCGTTCGTGGACAGAGAGAGAATGCCGCGTCCTCTCTCTTTTTGTGAGACATTCTTCCCAACTCTCTCATTACCCCTCTCCCTCTCTTCCATGCTTGTTCAACCTATCCAACCATCTCACTGTGGCTCCTGGTCTCCCTTTCTCCTCTCCTCATTTACTCTGGGTTACAACGTTGAGATTAGGTTGTCTGTGCCATTTTACTTCTCAGTGCTACTTTATTGTTTTGGACTCTCTCTCTCTCTGTCTCAGGCTCCTTCCTCTTTGTTACTTTGGACACAGTGCTGCTTTTTGTGTACTGACCTCTGACCTTGAGAAGTCACATTGGATAATGGGCAAACAGCAAGCAATACCGTAGACCTGTACTTTAGTGCTTATTATTAGCCTTTCTGTCTCCCTGTGTGGCCCCTGTCACTATCTATTGCCCCTGTCCCTATCTGTCTTTCTGTCTGTCTCTACAACCTTGAAATAGCCCCTAGACCCCCCTAGCCATAATTCTTCTTGTATCTAACATGATCCCCTCTCTTCTCTTATCCTCTACATGTCTTGTCTTGTACTGTCTCTCCACATTGTCTCTCTTCTTTCACCCTCTACTTTTACCACCTTTTAAACTCATCCATTTCCCTTTTCCTGCTTCTCTTCCTTATACCCCCCACCCCCTTTCCAGATGAGATTGAGATGCTGGAGCGCCTGTGGCTATCGGGTATCTGCCATAATGACAAAATTGAGGTGATGAGCAGTAAACTGGATATTGACAACATGGCTGGGGTCTTCTACATGCTGCTGGTGGCTATGGGCCTCAGTTTGCTGGTGTTTGCCTGGGAACATTTGGTCTACTGGAAGCTTCGCCACTGCATGGCCACCAGTTCTGGCAAATTGGACTTTCTCTTGGCAATCAGCAGGGTAAGTGTTTTTGTCTTTGTCTTTGTGTGTGTGTGTGTGTGTGTGTGTGTGTGTGTGTGTGTGTGTGTGTGTGTGTGCATGTCTACAGTGTTTTTTCAGGACTGGCACACAATTTTTTTTTTAAAGATTTGCAGACATTCTGTTAAGTGTTTTAATAAAGTTGTATATCCAAATATCCGCTGCTAATGTTTAACTTTTAACCGATCCAACCCCTTTTTTTGCATTAACAACCAGGTGTTTCTACAATATAGTGCTCTAAAACTATCCTACTCTATAACAGGACAACATGGTTGAAATGGAAATGTTGTGCAAACACTGTGTGAGAACATGTGTGTTCATGCCTGTGTGTGCCCTTATCTGTTACTGAGTGTGAGTGTTAGAAAGTGTGAGGTCCAGGGTCAATTCAATTCCACTCAGTCAATTCGGGAGATTAATTGAAATTCAATTCCGCTCACACCCTGGATATCCTCTTCCTTTGACAGTGACCTTGACAGAAGCAGCCCACACCATGTGCATGTGATTATTGTAGCTTCACTTATAATAATTTGTCGTTTTTCACCACTATGGTTGTAATTTATGCATTTATGTATGCAATTCCATTAACCAAACAATGCACAACTGTACTATAAATAGGATTGGATGTTTATCTGAAAAATAGCAATCTTTTCTTTCTTTATAAACTGAATCTACTTAGGTTTCTGTTTTAATATTTTCTTCCTCTTTCTCTGTTGCTCTCTCTCATGTACATACAGTAATACAATGCCTACATGTGGGGCATGATACCTGCAGTCTGTTGCATCTATGTTTTACATTTATTTGCCAATATATTCCTGCATTTACATGTAATTAATTACATTTTTTTATTTCAGGAAATACAGTTTATTTTATTTAACTTTGTTAATAAACTCGGACTCTCTCTTGTGCTCTCTTTTTCTCAGGGCATGTATAGCTGCTGTAGCTTTGAGGATGAAACAGCACCAGGTGGAACTAAATCTTTGGCCACTCATCATCACACGATGGTCACAGTTCCGTCCCAGCCACATGTTGTCTCAACATCTATGACCAATCCAGTCATTGCCATGGCGCAACAGCAGCAACCACCGCAACAGCAGCAACCACAGCCCGTCTACAAAACACCTCTACCGGGCTCACCTCCCACCGTGGTGCATTCTGGGACAGCACTGGGTCCCTCCAACACCCCCATTGCTGGTGCACCCCTCCCTTGCTCCAGCTTCCTGCCCCGGCCAGACCGCAGACTGGCTGTGGTGGATCGCTGGAGGCTGCCCAAATCTGCTACAGCCACCAACCCAATGGCTGTAAGGGGGGCCATCACTGACATGGGACCCTTTGCTCAGAAAGTCCCACCAAACTGGGCTCCAACTGCTGGAGGGGGTGGGGGACTTGACGGCTATAAGAGATACTATGGTCCCATTGACCCTGAGGGACTGGGGCCCTGCATTGAGCAGCAGGCAGGGTCCCAGACCCCCAAGACTATGCCCAGGGGCCACCCCCAACCCCCTCCAGCCAGTGTGGCCTTCTATTCAGAGAAGGGCATGGACCACGGGGTGGGGAAGAGGGTGGTGGGAGGTGGCAGCGGAGGTCAGGGGAAAGTGGCCATTAAACCTCTGGGCACTCCGAGATTGACGCCTAAGAGTCAGGCCCCTCTGCCCCCTACACCCCCGCTGCCACACCCCTCTCCCCCTCTCCCCTCATCCTTCTGGAGGAAGCGTAGGCCCAAGAAGCCCAAAGAGCCTGGAGGGCCACTGTATGAGAACATTCTGCCACTGGGGCAGAGGGGAGGAGCACGAGATGGAGTGAGAGAGGGAGGAGGGAGGAGGGCACGCCCCCTCTCTCCCCCGCTCTCACTTCCTGTGCCAGTACCCCTCAGCCCCTCTTACACCCCTCCTTCGCCCTCTGCATCTTTGCACTATACATCCTCCTCCTCTTCGTCGACCACCTCATCCACATCTTCGTCCTCATCTGCCTCATCTTCGCGCTCCACCTCTCCCACCTACTCTTACAGCTCCTCTAGGAGCACACGGGACAGGACTGGAGGAATAGATGGAGAGGATGATGATGACGATGAGGAGCTGACAGAAGAGTCAAGCCTCCTTCTTGGCAGGGGGAGGGAGAGGGAACGCTCAATCATTCGGCCTCGTTCCTTCAGCCATGGACGTCTGCCGCCACCCATACCCCCCAGGAAACCACGCACATCCTGGGGTGACAGAGAAAGGGAACGAGAGAGGGAGAGAGGGGGAAGCCAACTGTCTCAGCTCCAAGAGTGGTGGGCAAGCTGGAGTGAGAGAGAGAGGAGTGGAGAGGGTGGAGATGCTGAGAGGCAAAAAAGGGAAAAGAAGAGGAGAAAAGAGAAGGAGAAAGAGAAGAAGAAGAAGAAAAAGAACAAAAAGAGGAAAAAGAGGGAAGAAAGGGAAAGAGAGCGAGAGAGAGAAAGGAAGCGGCGAAAGGTAAAAAAGAAGAAGAAAAAGGAGCTTAAGACAAAGAAAAGGAAGAAATCAATTGGGGGAAGACGCTCTGAGCCAGAAGAGGGAGATGTAGAGCCAGAGAGGGAAGGGGAGGTAGAAGGAGAGAGGGAAGGAGGAATAAAAGACTACTCCTTTTCTGCGCAGTATCGGAGCACATTTGGGGAGAAGGGACGGGATTCATGGGAAGGAGAGAGGGAAAGAGGAAGGAGAGAAGGAGATGAAGGCAATGACAGGGAACAGGAGGACAGCAGCAGAAGCAGGGAGAGGCGTCCCAAATCCTCACGCCCTCATTCTAGACATCGTATCCCCAATAAGCGTTACCCTAACCTCAACAAACTTCCTGCATCTGTGAAATTTTGGGTGAATGGAAGAGGTGATGATTCTAATACTCCTCCAACATCCCTTCACCCACTCCTTCCATCCTCCAAGCGGAGAAGAAGTGGTGGGATAGATGACAGTGGGAGAGTCGGAGAGCGGCGTCCTTTGTTAATGCATTATGAAAAAGAGAAAGCACCGACAAGAGAAGGGCTTTCCTTCCCTGAGTGGGACTCTGAGGATGACGATGATAATGATGATGAGGAAGAGGAGGAAAGGGAGAGAGGGCGGGAGCGGGTGGGGGATAGGGGAAGGAGAGCAGGTAGGGGGGCAGTGTCTGAGTCAGAGAGGGACAGGGCCAGGGCAGAGGACAGTTATTCAGATGAGGGCTCGTCAGGGGAGTTTGGTCGTTTTGAAAGATACTGGGAAGGAGGTCCAGGGGGAAGCAGCACGGGGATAGGGGGCATAGGGGGAGGAGGCTGGTTCTTTGGCACCTACCCATCAAGAGAGAAAGGGGGCAGTATCAACAGTCGGGATGATTCCTTACAAGGAACTCGGGCTGAGGGATGGATTGGTGCTGATTTCTGGGGTTCGGGACCAGGAGTAGGTTGGGGCTCAGGGGGAGGGAGTGGAGGGCTCGGCTCACAGTGGCCGCCACCCCCCGCAGCCTTCCCCCCACCTCGGAGGTACTGGTCTATGGACAAGATCCCTGTGAAGGGAGAGAAAAAGTGGAAGAGTGGAGGAGGGAAGAGCAAGGGACGAGCTAGAAACAGAGGGGAAGAAGCAGGACGGGCCACCATATGTTCCTGCAGCCTTTACCCCCAACCCCATCCTTACCCACATCCCCACAGCCGCTCGCACGCCTCCCACTCCAAGAGAGGAGCCACGGCGCTTTCCCATAGCCAGGAAGAGCTGATCCCCCACTGCCACAGCTTCAGCGGTGGCTCTCGTCCCAAGCCTCTGCCCCCGAAACCAGATCCCAGTCAGGCCAAATCAGGCAGCCAATCTAACCTCAGCCTCAGCACACAACCCACAGAGCATCCACCTCAGCCCTCACCGTCGCCACCCCAGCCGTCCATGTCTCCCACCTCCCTACCGATGCCCATCCCGCCTCCGCCCTCCTCATCCTCTGTCTCACCACCAGCAGGGGTAGGAATGGTAGGCCAGGGCCAGGCACAGGCTTCGGCCAGTGCCAAACTCCAGTATCAGAGACTGCGCTCGGTGCCACAGCCACGGAGGTTCTACTCCCCACACCTGCCACTCAAAGCCAAGAGCCTGTGCTCTCGTCGAGGGTCGGCCCACTTCTCCAGCCTGGAGAGCGAGGTATGACAGGGGGAGAGGAGAGAGGGAGACGTGGGAGCAAGCACCACTGCTATTGAGAACCTTGGTGCCATGGCAGCTGGAGCCAGGAATGACACCAGAGATATTGCTGCCTTGGTGAACATAGGTAATCAATTAGCGACCATCACTGCGGGAACTAGTATGGACAGTAGTTCTACTGCTAGCAGTACTCTGTGTGAGAGCAACTCCACCGCCACCCGCTCCATTGTAAGCGTTCTCGTGAGGGCGACAGTGAGACGCCACACCAGGGTGAGCTACATCCGTTTGGATGGTTCCCATGATGACGAGAGTGAAGGCGATACTGCATCACTGGGGGCGGCAGCTCCTGAACTTTTTCTCCGCTCCGAATTGAGCTTTGTGATGTCATCTTCGGTTCTCCTCCCCTCCCCGAGTCACAACTATGGATAAGAGTAGTCTCCAGCTTGTGAGTAATGATGTCATATTTGTACACACAAACACACACATGCACGAACACACCCACGTACACACACAGATATATGCTCAAAACGTCTCCCTCCCTCTGGCTTTGAGAACACACCTCGGTGGGATGTGGAGAGACCCACTCTCTCCCAAAGGATGCCAGTTTTTACTCAATAGACTCTGGCTGCCTGTCCTCATTGGCTGTTGGCTTTTGAACTGGATTGGTGGACTGCTTCATAGTCTTGGAGAGACTGCCCCCTCTTCTTCCCTTTTGTAAATCAGTTGATATGAAAAGCAATGCAGTCAGCTCTCTCATGCACTCTGTCTGCCTGATCACCTTTCAGTGGGCAGTGAGGACAGTGCTAATTATTAGCCCTTTGTCCTCCTTTGACACCATCAGACCCATCTAGCTCTACCCCAGGACCATCTACGTGATGTCATGTTTTACTAGAAACCCTTTTAACCAATCAGTTTGAACAGGAACCTCCTTCTCCGTCTCCCTGTTGGAGCTTGTCATGTCACCTCTGTTCCAGCCAGAGCTCGAACACAGTTGAGTATCAAAGTATTTGAACAACAAACTGAACTTTAAAAAGAGAAATAACAATAACAACAAAAAAAGACATGTAGCAGATTTTTTTTTGTCTGTCTCTTCTTTTCTTTCTTACTCAGACTTTTCTCCCCATGCCCTCTTTTTTATTCTATCAATATATTTCTCTCACTGTGTTAGTGTTTTAATAAAGAGGAGGCTGGATGTGGCTAGTGTTGGAAGTGGGAATGATCCAATAGCAGTGCCAAATTTCCACTCAACAGCTTTAAAGCTAGATCGGTTTCCAAGTAACTTGTTTTCATAGATAAAGAACCGTCTTTTATTTCCACATGTGAACAACGCATAATTCACCATCATGTTAGTGGATCAAGGGGATGAATGGTGCAATATCTGTAATTGGCACTAGATGGCTGCATAATATTCAAGTACGCTTTGGAGAAAATTGTACAAGAGGCTTGTGGTAAGTTTAATAACTGTAGCTACATGATACAGAGCAAAGGGTGTGCAGCTATGAACTTTATTATTTTTATAAAAGTGGCCAGTCAGGATTTATTCAGAGGAATTATTGAAACCAAGTGCAGTGCATTGTAAACGCTCTCTTAGGATATTACTGTATTTCACTTCTATATTGTACCTTGGCAGAGTTTGTAGATGATGGATTATATGAAGCACAACATTCATTGTATTTTTCAGACATCCGTGCCACAGTTGTAACCGCACAATTTACAGGTAGTATAATTTGCTGATGTGTGGAAAACTATTCACTTGATGTTAACTCATGTTGCTATTATGGACAATAAAATTCACTGTTACTAAGGTTCAAATAACAAAGTACCACAGATGAATGAGGTAACGATCTTGTGCTTTGACTATTTCCTTTCGGCAAATAAGACTGAACGATATACTGTGAATGTTTAAAGTTCCGATTTGAGGTGCATATATAATAGCTGAGACTTGACTGAATGCAGTCAGTAATATGTCCTGTAATCAAGATCATCAGATGACTGTTTGACTTTGAGCAATATTCCCACCTTTAATGTGACAGCGATGCAATGGCACATCTGTTTGCATCTGAGACATTGTAATTGTTTTTCCTCTAGATCATTTGTTTCAGCAAGAGTCAGATGTTCCACATCTTCACTGATTTTCCTTTTCGGGGGATTGGTTTAATCTAATTTGGTCGGATGTGATTGTAATAAATGAGTTAAAGTCCACAGCACCTGGCTCTGGCTGACCAATATGAATACAAAATGCTATGTGTTCAAGGGAGAGTAGTGAACTGTAGCATTGGACCTTCTGTGAGCTGTGCCAAAAGCCATCTACTGTGTAAACTGTGCCAATGTTGCCAACATTGCAATGCATACACTCCATTTTCAACATATCCACCTCATTTCTCACACTAAGACCAGCCACAGCCAAGCTCTTCTTCTATTGTAGTTGAATGTAGCTTTGACATGATGTAGCAAAAAAAACACCTACTTTTAGACTTTGTAGCTTTTTGGATGCTGTTGATAATGGCTAGAAGGAGGGGGGTTGGGGGTGGGGGTGTTGACCTGCTATGTGAGGGACTGTGCGTTGTGTTTGTGCATGTCGTCACAGATCGAAGGGTTAGTTGACCTTCTCAATTCCCCTTTTTCTTCTTTGCCTTTCAATGAGGGCAGACTGTACCTTTTATCTGCACATGGATTGCTTTTTTTCTAAGACTGCGTGGGGCAATATTTTTGAAAAACAACATCTAAAAACTTTGTTTTTAGAGAAATGCTTTTGCCATCCTTTGGAAAGCCCCAGAGTCATTGCATGTTTAGCTGAATGAAATCAAAGAGATTTGTGGTGGGAGGGTTGTGTAGTTCAATTGTAGCAAATGCTTAGGACCCAGGGCAGCCACCTTTCAGTTCGGTAGTAAGCTCGCTCTACTCTGCACCCCAACAGTGGAAACCACCGCAACAGTTTGACTGCTTCCTGTGTAGTTGAGCACAGTCATTTTCAACCAATCAACAGGGCTTAAACCTGCTATGTCATTGAGCATTATTGATTTCTATTGAGGCGCTAATACTTAAGTCTGTGACTGCATGAACAGAAGTGACTCTTAAAAACCCTCTGGCTTATTTTTGTTTTATTTATTTTATTTTATGCTAAGAAAAAAGAATATATTAAAATATACTATGTTTTTGAGAATGTACCATGTTATACTGTGATTTAACTGAGATATTTTATTGTATTCAATTATCATTTGAATTATATCATTTATCTATAAAGAAATATATATGTACAAATAAATATATACATATATATACATACAGGTATATATATATATTAGTTAAGTTTGGTATATTTGGAGGAAGTGTTAGATGAAATAGTTTTAAATGTTTTAGCTTTGTAGCGATTCTAGACACTGAAATCATTTTTGAATTTCGATTCCTCCTATATGACTGTGAAGACATTAGTGCCTGTGACAAAAAAGACAAGTAAAAGTCTAAACTCTCTATTCATCTGTATCTACTATAGCTATCAGTCTGTCACTCCTCTCGTACTACCTAGCATTACTTTTCCACACTCGCTGCTTTTACACATCAGTATGTTTCTCTCACACAGTCTGCTGTCTCTTTTGCTTTCTGTAGCTCGTTCTGGTTTTCCTTAACAAGCGTTCTCCACCTCTCCTCTTTTAAAGTTTTATCATATGGCGATCACACCACTTTGTTAATTAACCCGCCCATTGACCTTTTTGCTGTTTTCCTTTGATCACGTTCTTTTTGAATCAGCTCATTCCTCTGTCTGTCTCTCACTTAGCAAAAAACAGAGACCAGTAGATACTGTGTTCTTGCTCCTTTTGACTGATTGTTGATGATGATGATCAATTAATTGATTGATGAAATAATTAATGAACAATGTTACTATTACTTATGTGACTGAAGTGTGTATCTGACGACCATGCCACTGTAGCAAGTCTGGGCTGTACCACACCACCAGCGAGCAAATGAGGCCACAGTTGCTATGGTGTTGCCATGGCATTTTCATGGCGTTGCCATGGTGTCCTCCGCACCGCCACCACCTGGTGCCTGCTGGGTAATATAGCATAATGTCCTTCACTTTCTCCAAAGCACTGGTCAAAACCTGCTATGCTCCTCTCTGCTCAGTCCCGACCTTAACCAGTGTATGGGGAAACATTCAAAAGCTCATGTTGGAAGAGTGCTGAGGGGCAGCATGGTGGTGAAGTGTCTGCTGTCTGTGCTGATCTAGACTGGACTGGTTAGGCTTGAAGTGGATATGATAAAGTCTTCATATCATGTTGATCTCCTAATCTGTAAATCATCAGTTTGTGATGCCCTGCATGTAATCCCAAAAGCTCCATATCACTGATAGCCTCAAACCAGTCGGGACACAACTGTGTCTTTGCTTGTGTATTTCTAGTATTGAATGTGTGTTTTATGTTGAGAGGGTACATTTACCGTATTTGTATTGCATGAGCACTAATCATTTGAAAAAGCCCACTGCAGCATGATTCTGTGATACTCTCCTTCACTCTCCCTCTGTTTTTTTCCCCTCCTGCTATTTCTGAAAAACTCATCCACTCACACTTTGCTGTGCATGGATATTTAACACAATGCGCACATCACTCAGCCAATGATCCTCATCTTCCTCTAGCCCTCGCTAAGCTGCAATCTAAAGGAACGCCTCAAGTAGTCCCATCATCCCACACAGGCACACGTGTGGCTTCACAACACAATGCTCGCCAGGCCACACACACTGAAACTACTCTAATTTCTTGAAAACGCAGTCTTTTGTGTAAAATTTGGTTCACAGATTTGGTTAGCGGAGGAAGGTACATTCACTGTTCTGCCTGTTTTGAGCTATCCGTTTCTTCAGTTTGCGATATAGTCTTGCACTCTGCTTCGCACTGTCCTGCCTGTTCTGATCCATCAATTCCTGTTTAGAGTAGTCAGGTTCAATTTGTTTTACTTTGCTGACTTGCTCCTCTTTTGATTTACCTTGTTGTCCTTATCTGCTTTGATTTATCACATTTACTGTCTGGTCAAATTGTATGTATTGAACAGTCCAGTCCAGCCTAGTGCAGTGTGCTCCAGGCCAGTCTAGTTTCTGAGTTTGTAAGAGATCCTGGTGCAGCCTCAAGCTCATCCCCTCCCTCTATTGGCCCGTTACCTGGGAAGCAATACGTGTGGTGCTCCAGAATTCAAACAGGGTCTTCATTGGCTGAATCGGCCATGAATTATATCACGGAAACACAGGAGTGCCACACGTTGTAATCACCAGGTCTAGGGTCTGCATGTTGCACCATGAAAAGCTTACCCTACCACAGTGACAGGGCACATATACCCACAGAAACCAGTGTGTGTGTGTTTTCAGCATTGTACAAGGCCCAGTTCTGCTCTAGTAACCTCGCCAACACTATAGGCCTACTTACGGGTTCCTACGGCGGGTTGCTAGTAGGGTGATGTCGCTCCTAGCCCAGACTGGTCTGGTCTATGCCCTAATTTAAATGTGTTAGTTTATTTGACATTGTCTGTCTGGGGTGGGGCTGGAGGGTCAGTGCTGCACTTACTTCCTGAGAATTGCTTCATAAAATATGATTCTCTTTAATTAATGCCAGTGGTGCTGTGTTTCCTTCCAATTCTTTTGTCACGATTGTGATTATAAATAAGGGGCTTTGAGATTGTGGCATGCGGGCGTGTGTGTGTGTGTGTGTGCGGGTTTTCTCTTGTGACAGTATTTTCCATACAAGCTATTAGCCAGTCAGAACTCCTTCAAAGTAAATTTATGGAGAGCTCAAAGAGTAGTTTCTTTGGCATTCTGACAGGCAGTCCTCTGCGAAAGTGTGTGTGTGTGTGGGTGTGCAGCATTTGTGTGTGTGTGTGTGCAGCATTTGTGTGTGGGTGTGTGCGTGCGCATGCCTGCTTGCATATATTTCTCAGAAGTTTCTCGGTTCTTGTCAGACTTTTGCTTTGATCTGGCCAGAGCTGACCTAACATAATTCACTTCTTTCACCCTCAAAGAGAGCAACATACCTAACACTCTGCCTCAACTCTCAACGTCAGTCAACAGCGGCCGAGTCAGAGCCACCTGACCAGCCCTGTTTCTACTTCAACAAACAGATGTTTCTGCTGATCAGAACAGAATTTTAAACAGACCTGACCCTAATGCAGCTTCTCCCGAAGACATCTATAGACCTGTGTTGAATGATATCTGCATTGATAGCCTTTAGGCTTTATTTCTTTGTTTTGTTGTGGTTGTTTTGGGGTCAAATAGAGGGGAAAACACAGAAAGACAAGTGACACTGCATTTGAAATAGTTTCATCGTCCTTTGTGGAAGATCTCTTGTCTGGTTCTCAAAGCTATTTTTAAATGTATTCACAGTTACAACTTGGTTTTTTACACTGCGCAACCAAGCATGACAAAACATCTAAACAGTACCTGACACATGATATTGTGCAAGAGTGTTGATGGGGATATTAAATATGTTTTGTTCTGCTTCCTGTGTGCCTGCGATCTTCTAATTAGCCATGCTTTGTCAGTGTGATGGGCTAATGGCTAATTGCATTGTGAGGCCTCTGTGTGTACATGCAGTAATTACTTAACGCTCTAATAAGATTGAGTTACAGGCAGTTGGATCATGGTCTCCCCAAACACTGATCTGAGGTCAGTGTTATGCTTTTCTCTCTAATGGCTATGATGGGAGAGTGGAGGGGATAAACTGATCCTTGATCTGCCATGTGGGATTTCTATTACTCGCATTGTGTTCTGTCATTTATCTTTGAGTCGGGCACAGTTAGATGCCAGCAGTGATTGATTTGCTTTTGAGCTTTTTTATGCAAATAAAATACAGGAATGCAATTTTTATTTGATTAAATATACATTATATTTAGCGAATGCTGCTCAGCTCTGCTTTTATGTTGACGTTGTAAAATATGCATGATCTAGATTGGTCAGTTGATAAATAACTGCGGCCAACACAGCTATCTATCTCTGTTCAACTCCTGCTCCATTCTTTCCCCTTTCATCTCCCTTCTCCTCCCTCCTACAGCACCTCGTCCTCAGTCACTTCTTCATAGTCACACAAGCACACACACAGTACAGTGACTTATGAACGGCGTGTGGGAAATGAATGGAAGGACTGCTGCGTCCTGGTGCAGCAGATTGATCCCGTACTGATCTTCCACCGGGTCCCTGGGGATTTGTAACGCATGTCTGTGGTGCAGGGCTTAACAATTTCTCTCACTCTCTTCCTGCTTTTGTTTCTCATTCTGTCTCTCTCTCTCCAGCGACACCGGCGCCGTCTCTCACTATGCAATGCAGTGGCCCTTGCGCTCCTGCACCTCTCATCCTCCATCTCTCTCAGTATTCTGCCAATAACAAGTTCCTCTTCGTCTCTCTGTTTTGATTTTCTTTCCATTCTGATTCCCCTGACTGGCTCTGTCATTTCATTTATTCTGCGCTCTATTCTATCTCTGGTTATCTCTTAACATCAGTCTGTCCTTCCCTTTCAACTACATTTTATTGATCATTTCTCTATTGTTGCTTTTGCTGAATCTGTCGTCTTTCTTACATATGATACATCTGAGTTTTTACAAATATATGTATTGAATTCCTAAATCGACATCAATGTATATCTGCACACACTGTACTCACACACGTACAGTACATGTGGAGGGGGAGCGCTGTTTCCCTTTCATCATGCGTGCAGCGCCGCAGGGTTCTACAACCCATCGGCTTGATCTCTGAAGTTGAAAAAAAATAATAAAAAAACATGCATCCTTTCATCTCATGTATTTTTCCTCCAGCTTCACAGCTAATCTCTCTTTTCTGCCATTTTCACATGAGCCACACTGGACCATGACGAGGAACAAATTAGCTAACTGACCCACAGCTTATACCACACTGTTTGTCTTGTCTGTGTGTTTATGTGAGAATAAATGCACAAACTTGTCTTTTGTTTCTGTCGCAAGTGTGTTTGTATGTTAGCATGCTTTTTTATCACTCATTCACAACAGGCAGTTAGAGCAGTTGTAACAATCTGTGGCTGACTGATTAGTTATAATGGTAATAAACACAGAGTATATTTGTACAGTAATTCAAATACCATTTTTTATGTAAATGCATATATTTATAGATGTAATATTCGAGGATTGTCAGAATGTTAAGTGGAAAGAATTAATAGCTTTGTTTGCTAGCAGTCCTTACGATAGAGCATATGCTGTATGCTGTGGCCAATATGTTTGAAGCGACATTACCACCACGTCTAGGACAACATAATTATTCATATGACATCCTTGTTTGCCTGTGTGTGTGTGTGTGTGTGTGTAATGCCACCTACCCAAAGGGAATTCATCCTAGAAAACTGGGATGAAGATTAAGATATCCTCAGACATTACCTTGTTCTCCGCTCGCCTCATTATCCAATCGCCCCTCTTACCCTGAATCTCCTGCCCTCCTGCTTTCATCCTTCCCCCTGAGAACATTTTGTTCACAACCTTCTCTTCCTCCCTGCAGAAGTAAGAAAGGTTTTGCAGCCTGCAGCTGAGGCTTTGAGTTCTTGTTAGTATTTTGCACACATACTGTGAATAGTAATACGTTACAGCTCACATGCCCACTTTACTCATGTTAGTTGATGATCTCTCGGCTTGGCCACGGTCCCAAACTCACAGCCAAGGCCTCGACCTTGGTAGAGACAGGATCGGCCAAGCACAAATCTTTAATTTCTCTAGGTAGAAAAAATATAGTGGACAGATAAAACCCAACTCTGTTATGTAAATAGAGAAAAGAAAATATAAAAAAATCATGAAATATTAATATCGTAATCAATATTTTTTATTTTAGAAACGGATCACGTGAACTTGAACCCAGAGAATTAATACCTGATTGCAGTTCCTTTCAGCTCTATGGAGCGTTTCAGAGTCTTTCAGCCTCTTTGAGTTTTATGGCCTGCAACTTAACTGTTGTTTCACCCTCAACGCTCTAAAAACCTTGTTTTCTGTTGCAGCTGGCAGCTGTTTTCTGGGGAAAAGACTCTCTGTACGCTACTTGTTAAGCACCAACAACACACCAAAACAGTTAGCAACTAGCTGGTAAGCATAGTGGAACATTTAGCAATTATAGAGCAAGATATTTGCCTCAGGAGTTAGTGGAGACAAAAACAGAGATAAAAGGGAAGTCAATATTGGACTTAAATTCATCATGTTGTCAGAAACACAACGCTAAATGAATGATCATGTTCATCTGTTACTGTTGGATGTCTAAATAGGCAACTAAATGAAATTAGGCAATACGCCCTATACCATTTTTGTCATACAACGTGAACAACTGCAGATGACTTGTACCTTGTGCACGTGCCGTGTTTGGTCAGTTATTACAGGTTTAAATTTAGATTCTCAGCCCTCATACCACTCTCTTAAATGTTTGGATGTTCCTCCTGAGCAATCCACAAACCAAAATACGTGACATAATCCGATAGATTTGATTTAATGTACACAATTGTAGCTCATTTGTCTGTAGGTTTTTCTATTTTTGGAGTATTTGTTGTTGCAATGAGAGGCAGGTCAGCAGTAAAGTAAATATGGAGAGCAGGCTTATTTGCTTCAGTACTGAGAGTTTGTAGGCCATGTTGAAAGCCCTTGTCGCCTGCCAAATGTCTCATCTGACTGGCGTGGAGGTTTGTTGCTCTCTTCCAAAAACACAGCAGACCACTCTTCATTAAAAAAAGCAAATAGAAGCACACCCCAACAGAAAACCAATACAAGCAAACAGAGCCAATTGGTTCGGAAGAGACAAATTTAACAGGCAGATATGATTACCTCAGACACCACTTCTCGCCTGATTCCACAAACAACAGTTAGGCAAGTCAATTTACCTTAATTTCATTGGAGGAGAAAGAAAGCCGGCGAGCCAGGCAGGTTGAAGCCGGTGCTTGATGCGAGTGAGCGTTCGTTAGACGATAATGGATGCGTGTAATTGGTGAAGTGCTAAATGTTCCCCCAAAAAAGATTCCATTGAAGGAGGATTTTCTGTTTCATTAAGCCATGGTCAGAAATAATAAGATGGCCATCTGTAGTCTAAACAAGAATAAGACAGGGGGGCTGATAAGGAAAGTGTTCCTGATCAGAAATGGTAGCAACAGCTTCCAGTCCTGTCATATAATGGTGATTATTGTAAAGGTGGAGAGACAGATTGTGGTGTGTCTTCTTCATTGATCTATACTCATTCTTCCCTTTTTCTGTTGTCATCTCATATATTTCATTTTATCTTCCCTTCTATCCGTGTTTTGTATCATTTTCTTTCTGCTCTTAATCATGCAGGCCAAATCTGTGTTTTTACATTCTGCCGCTGCGTGTACGTCTTAACGTATCACACACACCAGCTCGCTTCTATGGCCCAGGATCAAACACTGTAAAGCATGCTCCGATAGGCATGCAAATGCACACTGATACACACTTAAGATTCACAAGTGCTTACTCATCACACCGTGTGGAGGGGAGACATTGTGAGCAGTTTATGTGCTTTGTTTTTCAATGCACCGATTACTGAGGAGTGCACGGTCTACAAGCTCATATTTCAGTGCCCCCTTTTCTCTCTCGCACTATGTGAGGACATCTTCCTCATTTATTTGTGACAACAGAACAAGGACATGACTCATCTAAGATAAGAGTGATGAAGAGGGGGAGTCTTATGGGCCTGAAAATTAAGACATAAATGGCGGTTCCATAGAGGAAGGTCTGGTGACGGTTTGTGTGAAGGAAAGCCCCCTATCATTTCCAATCAGCTGCTAGTTCAGCATGACTAATGCTGAAATGACATATATCATTGTCTGATAGGGCATGTTCACACAGGTTTTTTTTTCAACACATACAGTAATAATGACAGCGTCCAACACACACAGACTTTTGCATGCTAGCTCACTCTTATCTTGCTGGCTGACACCATTTTGCTCTCTAACAATCTTGCTAATTATAATTGTTAATTAATTCTCTGCCAGTGTCCTCATCAGGAGACTAATAACCTACATTTCCATTAATTAGACCTTCAACCCTTCGCTCCCTCTCTTAGTCTCTCCGTCCCACTACAATCCACCCCTTCGTCCCCTGCCTGCCTGCTTCCCTGCTCCCGCCTGCTGCTCTCTTCTCCCAAGATTGTCCATAGATCACGTGCACACATGGAGTGTGATTAATTGTGTGTGTGTGTGTATTACATTGCAGGGACAGAAATCTGTTCAAACAGACATTATATATAGGGACTCGACTACCCAAAGGGAAGTCATTGAGTTTTAGGTTTAAAGGGATAGTTTGACATTTTGGGAAATACACTTAGTCGCTTTCTTGCTGAGAGTTAGATGAGAAGATTGATAACATCCTCGTGTCTGTACGGTAAATATGAAGCTGGAGCCAGTAACTGGTTAGCTTAGCATAAATATTATGAATAGCTATCCAGGCTCCGTGCAAAGGTAAAAAAAAACAAAGATTCTACCTTCTGGCACTCCTAAAACTCACTAATTAGCACGTTGTAGTAGTCCAGGTCTCTGGTGGTTGCCTGGCAACTGGTCCTGGCCAAGATTAAGTCTGGCACACAATCCCCCCCCCCCCCTCCAAAAAAACAAACAGCAAACTGTTGTTTGTACACTTGATTTTTGTAAGGATTAAACAAACAGCGTATCACATGTTGATCTGTGAGCTTTAGAGGTGCTGGTTGTCGTCGTTTGACATTCAGACAGTGCCAGGCTGTTTCCCCTGCTTCCAGTCTTTATGCTAAGCTAAGCTAACCAGCTGCTGGTAATACAACACAAATGTCGATACAAAACAAGTTTCTGTGTGTCTTTGTGTATGCGTGTGTGTCCTTGACAATGTGAGGGCAATCAATGGACGAACAGGTCTTCCCTCTTGGAAACTACTCTTCCCATCAGGCTTAGCTGACCTGGTTTCAGTCCACAGTGGAGCAGTGTCATCATGTCAACACTCTGATCTCAATTTTGATCTCAGAACAAATTTCAGATTTAGTGAATATACTTTAACGGCGCTGAAACAGAAAAAATTAACAGAGATGTTTATTTCGCAGGCCTGTTGATCCTTCATTCATCTGGATCTGCTGCAAACTCCATGACTTTTAACCATTTATTCCCTGTTTCAGCTGTGCTTAACTAGCCTTTTGATTTACTCTCCCCCCTCTGAAGCTCTCTTCTCTTTTCTTCCAGACTGGATACTCTCTCTCTCTCTCCCCGTCCTTTCCTCCCTCCGTCTGGCACTAGAGGAAGTGAGAGACAGTTGGCGCTTGCTTGTCCATACTGTAAGGGTGGTGGCAAAATGGCAGCTTCTGTCTCATCCGCCCTCCTTCCTGTAACTCCCTCACCCTCTCCTGAGAGAAGTAACCCAGATTTCAAAATGAATCGCTGCCTGTTCCCCTCAATCTGTCTCTCTCTCTCTATTTCTCTCTCTCTCTTTCTCTCTCTCTCTTTCTCTCTCCTCTCTCTACTACTTCCACTGTCTCTCTTTCTCTTGCTACATCTCTCGTCCTCTTCTTAGTAAAAAGAGAATCAATCTTGGAAAGAGAATACCACCTCTCTATTTCGTCCTCCTCCTCACCCTGCCTCTGGGTTAACGGATATATACCACTTCACTCTTCTATCTTTGGTTCCTCGAAAGCTTAAATCTCTTGAAACGCTTGTTGCTTTCGCTTTTAGTTGTAATAGGTCTTTTCTTCTTTTAAAATTTTTGGCTGATTCTTTTTCGACTTGCCACAGCACTACTTATCTTGATCTTTTCTCCACGACTTTCTCTTTTTTTTTGTTGAGGTAACCAGCTACAGGTGTGACACCTTAGCCTTTCTTTTGAAGTGAGCCACACAAGGAGAAGAAAGGGGGGAGGAAGAGAAAAATCTGTCCTTTAGTCAAGCCTTTCCTCCAAAATCACCACAAATTCAGGTATTGCGTCTTTGTGTTTTTCGCTGTATGGGTCTGCACACATTTTTGGAATATATTTTTCTTCTTGACATTCATTTACTAATTTCTGAGCAGTGTGCCATCTTTCTCACCATCCTCCTTCACCCTTTTGATTGATTAGTTGATGCTTCTTTGCTGAGACACCATCATTTCATCATAGTTTTTTCTGGCATGTTTTTTGTTGCTATCGGCTTATTTATTTATTCATTAAATCTCTGTTGGGGTTTCATTTATCATTTAGGAGTGTGCAACTCTTGCGCCACAATCTCTCCAGCTAAAATTTGCCATTTTGCACTTTTTCCAGTGCATCTCGTTCCCTGTAGACCTATTACATATTATTCAGGTCCAAACTTTACTCCTGAAATTGGACTAATTGCTAATAAGGGCAGGCAGGAAGTCGAGATAGGATACCGGCTCTAATATTGGAGCATGTGGTTGGGGTGTTGTTGACATGGCAACAGGAGGCACAGTTGACATAACAACCAGGGGGTGGGTTGGGTGTAGTCATAGCTGCCAGGGGGATGGAGATATAAGGGGTACAGCGTGAGGGAGATGTAGGTAGAATGGACAGGCAGTATGTGGGACACTCAGTGAGTTGCACTAATCGTTTAGCGTCTCAGAGTCTCTTAGGAGAGTTCTGTCTCCGTATGTGAATTAACCTCCATGTTCTTCATTACACCACTCTTTTCTCTATCACTCTGTACTCCCTCCATCTTCTTCTGCACTTCCGGTCCATTCTCGATCTTTCTCTCCATCACGTCACTGCTTCGCTGCATCATACGTCCCATGTGCCATTATTACAACTCCTGTTGCTACCATGACCCATTACACTTTCCATCCCCCCTCCTCCTGCTCCACCTCCCTGTCCTTGCTTCCTCCCCTCCCTCCCCCATGCTCAAGGTCTTGCGCCTGTACAACTCTATACCCTCCTTACTGACACTCATCCATTCCCCCTATCCCTCCCTCTCTCCTCTTTCTACTGTATCCTTCAGGCATCATGTCCACCCCGGTCTCCCCTCCCCCCTCCCTCTCCCTGTTGACACTGGCCTCCCCAACATCAGGAACCTCCCCCGGTGCCTCCCCGCTGCCCTCGCTCCTCTCCCCTCCGGCCAGGGTGCCTGTGTTCCAGAGGAAGGGAGCGCTCAAACACAAGAGGATTGTTGAGGTGAAAGACCACCAGTTCACAGCCCGCTTCTTCAAACAGCCCACCTTCTGCAGCCACTGCACCGACTTCATCTGGTAACACACACACACACACACGCACAGCTGCACGTTTACACAGAAACCAACCCGGCAGTTCATAAGCCGCCTTCTCAGGCATCCCACTACTCCATCTGATTTTCTCTGCACTCCTTCTCTCTTAAACCAGATCCAGCTGCCTGCTGGAGAAACAGCCTACCACACTGACCTGATCTGATCACACATCCTCACCTCCACACTGCAGCCCACACAGTACAGCAGTTACTTAAGGAGCTTCATTACACACATGCAGACACACATATACACACAAGACAGATTTCCATTATGACATTTTTGCCGGTATGAATGCTTGCTGAAAGAGTAACAGTACATGCAAGCATGCACAAACACACTCAGGCCAGGGTGTAGGAGATATTATTTAGATCTTAAAGGGGAACTCTTTAGTATACCACCTCTATGATGGGCGACTCAAAGATCAAAACAAGAATTGGTCAAAATTGAGATATTCTGACCTTGTAAAGCTCCTCCAGAGCCACAAAAGACATTCTGGAACACTTTTCACTGGTTGAGTAGTAGGCCTAGAAAAGAGTAAACTGAACTACCATGAATACAATTGGTGGAGTGCGCATTTAGAATACCACAATGTCAAAAATGCCTTATCAGAAAGCATTAGAAAGTCCTGCATTCAAAAATGCTCCAAAGTACTGTTAAAGTGCACAATTTTATTAAGCAATAAAATGGACTTGGGTATCAACAGAACTAATTTGAAAATCAGTGTAATGCAGTGTTCGATTTTTAATGCGTTTATAAATAAGTAGTATTTTGTTGTTGCAGTTGCTCCAGGAGATGCTATACAGTAACTATTTTATAAACTGCTGGAGTTTACACTCATCACTGTCCAGTAAAAACCACGTACCTCCAAATGTGGTGTTTTTGTATTTTTAAGATAAACTGAAGGATTTAGTGCTCTTTATGAGTTTAGAAAAGTCTCTCATTTCTTAAGCTTTATGAACCATTTGATAATGATGGGAAAAATCATGACAAAAATATAAAATGAGAAGAAAAAAAATGCAGCGTCGTAAAGCTGTGCACAGAAAAGTGCTGTTTTGTTCATGAAAAGTTGATGTTTTCGAGATACAAGGTTTTCACAGGACAGGGATCATATGTCTTTTGCCAATCTTAAACGATTTACAGCTTATATGTGAAGGAAAATATATTGTGTGTGTGCGTGCGTGTGCGTGCGTGCGTGTGTGTTTGGACATATGGTGGTGTATGTAGGATGCAGGGCGGTGCATATGCCAGCAGCCTCTGGGTAGCTTTCAGGACATTTCTCCAACTGCTACTGTCTTGGCCGCAGTAGCAGCATTTAGCTCAGGGTGAAAAATCGTTCCCTTCACACAGGATGTCAGCGCAGCAGCTCTCAACCTGGGTGTCGTAGCCCCTGGGGGCTATTGATAGATTAATTAAATACTTAGAAACAATAGTTTAAATTTTGAAATGTAAATATGTGGTATATTAAGTCAGGCTCTAAAAGGGTATGGGTTATACCATGTATGGCTCATGTAGTCTAAAAAGGTAAAAGTGTCACACTTCAGTGTGTGTTTGGAGTAACTGACCTGCTGTTCTCAATGGTCATAAATCAAACTGATCAAAGATCCAACAGGCCTTTTTTACAGCAGATGTTTTGACTTGTTTTCATAGAAGCACTGGTGTTACTAATAACAGTAATGATAGATCTGTTCTATTCAAACTACTGTGACTTCAGTGAAAATGCCTATTGCATAGCCAAGGTCCAACCCCCTTGAAGTCGTCGGGAATGTTTTATAGGATTTCTCTAACGATTTGATGCCAACTTTTTATTTAATTGCATAGGTTTTCAATGCATCATTAAACTTAAAATGCAGTCAATTTCCTGTGATATCTGGCCAGCAAGCAACACTGTCGATCCTCCTCACATCTATCTTTGGACCTCTAATGCTCTCTGCTGGTCAAAAAGCAGAACTGGCCTTACACACTGAGACCGCTGCAGACAGAGACTTCTGTTGAATGCTGATCAAGGATCAGATTACCCTCTGAAACAGCATCTTTAATTATTACCCAGGCAGATGGTGAACTGATTTTAGATCAGTGATTATGGTCAGTTTCCTATGAACCCCTGGGCCTCTCCAGCATGATTGTGGAGAAGCTCTCGGCGGTGTCTTGTTCGTCTGCCTTTCTAATCAAAATTTGATTCACAGCAGGCAAGCTGCTGAGTGGACACTTTAGTCAATCAATGGCTTTAATTATTCAATTAAAGCTCTAAGGAGACACTGGAAACTAGCCAACACCGCAGTTCTGGAAACAGGAGAATTGTGTTTGTGTATCCGTGTGTGTGTGTACGTGTGACATTGATTGACACCACTTGACCTGGTCAGCAGTGTGGCTTAGAGAAGGAAGACACCCAAACTTCACACACAATGGCTTTGTTTATCAAGTCGGTGGCCTCTAACACAATGTTGTTTGTTTTTTGATGAGTCTCAACCTGCATGTCTGTTGGAACAGAATAATGCAGCAGCACTATCTCTGTCTTGGCAGTGTAATCTACACTCCGCTGGCTGGGAAACAGCTAAATATTTTATTTTACAGAAGTGTAGAGAAGATTGTATTTGTGTCTTAAGCCATGTGCCTTCTTCACTCAGGGGCATCGGCAAACAGGGATTCCAATGTCAAGGTAAAGATAAACCCAGTGTTATTGCCTTTTTCTGCAGTATATAATCTTCTCACACGATGTTCCCAGTGTGACCGGTTTTATTTTTTAAGGATATTATTCTCTGTGTTTCCTCCAGTTTGCAGTTTCGTGGTTCACAAAAGATGTCATGAGTTTGTGACCTTCACTTGTCCTGGCTCTGTGGCGGGCCCCAAACCAGATGTGAGCAGATGTGCTATTATTTTCACTTTCCTTTTACTTTCTTGCTTTCTGTTTTAGTCAAGGTTTAGCACGTCATCATCATATTAGCCATCTGCTCAGTGCCAGGAACACGTGTGCATGACTCATCTGTCAATCCATGCATCCTTCACATCAGGCAGCCTTGTGACGTCTGCGCTCATGTCAAGTCATCCTACAAGGCTAGAGATGCAGCGAGTTGGAGATAGAGAGTGGAGGAGACGCAGGTGGAGGGGTGGAGGGGCTGATAAGAGAGAGAGAATTAGAGAGGGGAGAGAGCAACTGACTGCTCAGTCTTCCTTTCTGTGGTATTTTGAGGATTTCAGGGAGATTTGTCTCCATGTTTTTTCTTTATGCCAGCTATATAAACTGCCTCAGAAATCAGGTCAAGGGGAACATGTGTGTGACTGGGTGGAAAAAAAAGGAAAAGAGAGTGACAGGAACACACACAGAGGAGAAGCAGGGTGACGGTGTTTTTAAATAGCAGCTCAGAGGGAAAACATTTTTGGAGAAGGTGGAGAGTGGTGGTGGTGGGGTCTGATGAGCTGTGGAGAGATAAAAATGATTCATCCCTCTCTGCACAGTATATATATATACACACACACACACACACACAGCCTTGCCTAGATGCACTCTCATTTATATGTCCTCTCCCAGTGGAGAAATCTAATTGGTTTGTCCATGAATACCCCACTCAACATCTCTCCACTAATCATACTCGTGCGTTTATGTGTGTAAATGTGTGTGTGTGTGTGTGTTCACAGTTTCCTCCATGGTCACGCTGTGTGTGTGAGTGTGTGTTTTCAATGCAGGTTTCTTTCTGTTGTGTTTCAGGACCTGAAGACTCAACACTTGTTTAAGGTCCACACTTACTCCAGTCCTACCTTCTGCGACCACTGTGGCTCGCTGCTGTATGGACTCATACACCAGGGCATGCAATGTGGCTGTGAGTTTCTCTACACAAAACAGTGTTATAAATCTCTGTGTGTAAGATAAGAATCCATTTACACATGCACATCATGGGACTTACCTCTCTGCTGGGGAAATAAAGCTGGTCCCGAAAAAATTAGCCTTCAAAATTTAGAGTTGACTTTGTTAAGTTTATGTTTGGGGTGTTTTGGGAAATGCACTTATTCACTTTTTTGCAGAGAATTAGATTAAGAGATTGGCAACCAGCAGAGACTCCAGGAAGTGACTATGTCTGGCTAAGAAATAGTCAAACATAACCCCCTGCGAAATCAACTAGTCAGTTTTGTACCCACTAAACAAATGAGATATAACGTGTTAATTAGTGAGCTTTAGAGTTACAAATTGTGTTACCTTAAGACAGAGTCAGGCTAGCGCTCATCCCCTTTTTTCAGTCTTTATGCTAAGCTAAGCAGTTGCTGGCTGGAGACTTATAATTACAGGTAAGACATGACAGTTGTATTAATCTGCTCTAGCTCTTGACTAAAAAGCGAATGAGTGTCAATGCAGTCAAACAGAAACAAGACGTGTGTGTATAGAAAAAATATATACTGTGTATATATATTTGCATTTTGTGTTTATTTGGCAGTCAGTGTGATACATTTTATATTTTTTTGAACTTGCTATTTATCTAATTACCTTTTTTGTCACCTAAACATGTGCCTGTTGAAACTTGTGTATCTTTTTAACTCTAGGTTGTGACATGAACGTCCATCGACGGTGTGAGACCAGTGTTCCCAGTCTCTGTGGCCAAGACCACACAGAGAAAAGAGGTAGGATCCACCTGACCATCAGAGGAGAGCAGGAGGATGTCTTTGTCACAGGTTAGAGGACCAGCTGGAACATGGGTGCTAAAACAAATAGGAGGATTACACAGGTAATGAAGGATTTCTCTCTATGCGCTTTCTATTATTCTTCTTTCGCTTCAGTGCGGGAGGCTCGTAACCTGATGCCCATGGATCCAAACGGCCTGTCAGACCCGTACGTCAAACTGAAATTGATTCCAGACCCAAAGAGCCACAGCAAACAGAAAACCAAGACCGTCCGCTCAACACTCAATCCCATCTGGAATGAGAGTTTCACCTTGTGAGTCCTTGTGAACTTTAATCCAAAGTGGAAAATGTACTCAGTTCTGGGGCAAAATGTGCTTTAGGTCAAATAAAATGTCCTCGAACTTGGAGTCACAATAAGGACCCTGAAAGACAAAGATTAGATGGTTGATGTTCCCTTAGTACTGTATATGCAGCTTATTTTACATCACCAGTGTTAATATCCCATTATTTACTATCTTTATTTTTGCATTTTTCTGATATTCAGTAGAATTAAGATATTTGGAAATTGCCTTTGAAATCTGGAAAAATTCAAAAAGGTGAAAGAAAATGAAAAACATAAATGCCTTTGTGCGTTTTTGTTTTGCTTACACAGTGAGCTAACTCTTTGAGTTTTTGTGTTTGTCTCTCCAGCTCAGTGCGCGGTCACCAGTGGGACAGGCGTCTGTCTGTGGAGGTGTGGGACTGGGACCGCACGTCTAGGAACGATTTCATGGGAGCGCTGTCATTCGGAGTGAGTGAGATCTTCAGGCGTCCTATCAGTGGCTGGTTCAAACTGCTGGCCCAAGACGAGGGGGAGTACTACAACATCCCCGTGCCAGACCCAGACCTGGAGGTAGGAAATGTACTTCGAAAAAGCCGTCAGTCGGGTACTCATGTTGACCAAAACTCCACAAGGGGGATATGTATACGTGTATTCACCAGAGTGGGATTAGTTTTTACCACGCTAATGACCATTCATCCCAAAGCCTTGGCCTTCATCAGCTTATAATTACCTACATCTAATAAACAACAGCTGCCACTGCTCACACTAGGTCATGATCTTGAACTGGCCCTACCTATTATATCTGAGAAAAAAAGCGAGGAAGATTTATGCCTGGTTGTAGCTAACTAATTAGATAATAGATTAGATATGGTCCACTCCCTCCTTGTTACACTCTGTCTCCACCAGGGTGCAGGATTGTTCTGCCTGACTATAATCTCAAACTAGGGGCAGGAAGGAGTTTGGTTTGTTTGTCAGGTTTTTTTTGTGTGTGTGGTGTGTTTCTGTGTGTGTCTGTGCTGGACTGCATCCAACCATTCATCTCTCAACCTTCCCACTCCGATTCTCCAGGAGCCTCAGCCAGACGGCACAACACCATCTCTGCCTCAAGCGCTACCTGCCGCGCTGTCTGAACCATTCCCAGCGGCTCTGTCCCCGACCCCTTTACCATCTTGCCCACCAGTCCACACCCCCGGCCCTGCCAAAGTCAAAGTGGGCATCCTCGACTTCAACTTCCTCATGGTGCTCGGCAAAGGCAGCTTTGGCAAGGTAAATACAGCAAATGTCATCTTCTCTGCGTTCTGATCCAACAGCTGTAAGTAAAGTCAAAGAGGCTGGTCATGCTGAAAACAACAAAGATTGTTACTGGCTTCAAATAAGTTCTTCTATTGATGGACTTGACCTTCAAGTGGCATTTCATACAGCAGCTCCTGAGCAGAATTTCTTTGAAGAAAAAGCCCTTTCTTACATGCTCATTGTCTCTCCTACTACTGCCAAATGATTCATTTAACTCGTGGCTTCTTTTGTGTTGTCAGCAGTCGTGAGCTCTGGCTGGCTGGCTTCCTACATGCCACACAGTCCTCCTGGAGGTGTTCATTTCAAGGGAGCCTCTGCTCTCCATTCTCTCTATAATTCCCCAGTAGATGAGACATAATGAGGAGAGCAGAGTTTTGAGTCCTTCCTCCTCCTCTGAAATCCCCCCTGTGCTGTTTCATAACTGTCAGAGGAGAGTCTACAGAGGACAGGAGAAATAGTCTCAACTTACGTAAGATGTGAGAAAAAAACGACCCATGAAAGGAGAGACAGACCCCGGGGCTACTGAGTGAGGAAAAGTGAGACAGAGACAGACCAAGATAGAGAGGAAGAGGGGAGGATTACTGTTCTTTGGAAAGTGACAAAATGACCAAGAGGAAGTGAGATAACAAGAGCCGGAAAGAGGGAAAAGTACATGATTGTGTTAGCAAGATTTGTAATGCTCTGGAGGGTGAGGAGTCCCATTTTCATGGGAGTTAGTTTGAGAACACGGGGCAGAGCAGGAGACGAGATCACAGAGGACGGGAGGATTTCTCTCAGACTCGCAGTTCATCAATGGCACTGCACTGCACACACACACATACACACACACACTACACACACACACACACACACACACACACACACACACGTAGACACAATGATTTCTGAAAATGACACCATGTAATTTTCTCTACTTATCACCACTATAGAGTCAGATCCTCTATCCCCACCAGCCAGTGACCGTTACAGTGCAGCGCTGCAGGCTGGCCAGACAATTTTAAATAGTGTTGTTGTTGGCACTTTTCCAGTGATCCTGACCATATCTTTCCCATGAACCGCAGTAAAACCTGGCTCATGTGGCTCTCTTTCTAGAAAATGATAGCATCATTAGCTGTCAGAGCGACCCGCTAGCAGCCAATTTTACAGGAGTGAGAAAATAGTCGCTGAATGTGTTTTTAATGTCTGATAAAAACAGAGCCTCTTCACTTTTTCATTCATGACATTAACATGACTTGAAATCTTCAGGCATAGAACAGCTTTAACTAAACATTCCTTCAGAGGAGTAAATGTGCACAGTACTGAACTTGCTAAAGCATTTGTCTATATAATGTGATAACCTTTTTTTTTCTCTTGCGCTATTTCTTTTTTTTTTACCAGTATATTAATTTTTTAATACTGGCCACTTCATGCAAGTCCTGGCTTAGCACGACACTTTATTTAATGCACACAATATTGCAAATGTGCCTCAAAAGCACATAATTTTTATTAAATCAGCTGAACTAGTTTTCTCCTAACTAGAGCACCATGTCACTCATAACACAATGACCTAAAAAAACGTCAGGACTGGCAGCATTACAGTACATGCATGATTCTATCCAGAAAGGTGAAGCTTGAATGAGAGATGCATTCAAGACTTTGATGCGCAGACTACGAGAAGAATTTTTGAAAAAGTGAATTTTGTATTAAAAAAGGCTCTTTTTAGTTGTTGTCTATAAATACACATTGTGTTCAGCAGGTTGAGGACGCACAGTAGCTGCTTTAACATTCTTGGGATACCTTTGTTGTTACAGTAACTTTCTCTCCTCTCCCTGTCTATGTTCAGGTGCTTCTGGCAGAGGAGCGAGGCAGCGAGCGTCTGTTCGCCGTAAAAGTGTTGAAGAAAGACGTTCTCTTCCAGGACGAGGACACAGAGAGCGCTCTGGTGGAGAGGAGGGTTCTGGCGCTTTCCTCTCGCCCTCACTTCCTCACGTCTCTCTACTGCGCCTTCCAGACTGAGGTGTGTGTAGGTCTGTGTGTGTGTGTCGAGGGTATACGGGGTCCTAAATTAACCACATTAAATCGTCCATAAACCTGCCTGACATTTGGCTGTGTAGTCCTCCCTGGAGTTGTTTCAATAAAGGCTGCCTGAAATTTTAAAATAATTAATTAAATAATTAGTTTGCTTTCTTTAATAAGGTCCTTGGTCCTGGAGGAGGTTTTAACAGATTGCTTTTTAATTTGGACAAGAGGTGATTATGTATGGAGAGTGTGTATATTCATGTGTGTGTGTGTGTGTGTGTGTGTGTGTGTGTTTTGTTTTTGCAGGACCGTCTGTATTATGTGATGGAATACGTCAACGGAGGAGACCTGATGTTTCACATTCAGATAGTCGGCAAGTTCAAAGAGCCTCACGCAGCGTATGTAGTCAAAAAGCTCCTTTCTTTCACCTTAAATCACGGTCTTCATCTACAGCGTCTCATTTCCTGCCTATCTTCTATCCTCTGTTCCTTTACATACACACTCCTCTCTTAGCTTTGTTCATTATACCTGGTGACTCATAAAAAGTCATCAACTGACGTACCGACCCTCTTCTCTGTCCCCCGACTTTCTCCTCCCACTAATCTCATCTTTTTTATCTACATTTTCCCTCCTCCTGGCTGCTCATCTAATCAATAATCTTTGATCAATCATCTAAAAGTAATTCTTACCCTGTTGCTCATTTCCAGCTCTCTTTCTTCACCTGCCTGCCTTTCATCTACTTGGTTTCTTTCCCTTTCATCACCCTCTCGAGCTCCCTTCTCTCTCTCCTCGATGAAAACCTTGGCCATTTTTCTGAAAGATAAAGCAACCAGTAGTGAGCCCCCTCCCCCTCCTCCTCTCTGCCTCCAGGTTTTATGCAGCGGAGATAGCGGTCGGCCTCTTCTTCCTCCACAGCAATGGCATCATCTACAGGTAGAGAAGTGGGCTGCTCATTTAACATGGCCTGGTTTGGCACTGTCACTGCTCTGCAGTGCAGCACACAGATATAGATTTATCATGTCTTGTGTAGCTGATGACTGTTTTAAAGATGTTATCTATCAAAATGATTCATACCTGTGTGATCTGTTCCCTCTTTCTCAGGGATCTAAAGCTGGATAATGTGCTGCTCGACAGCGAGGGCCACATAAAGATAGCTGACTTCGGGATGTGCAGGGAGGGCATGTTGGAGGGCGACACCACGCGCACCTTCTGTGGCACCCCTGACTACATCGCCCCTGAGGTACACTGACCCCTGCTCTCGCATAGTGGTCCAGGCTAACTCCTGAACTCTCCTCATTTGTTCCTTAGCTCCGTCATTTCCCCTGGTTTCCCCCCCGTCTTCCCCTCTTTGTTTGCTTGACCTGTTTTGCATTGCTGCAAGACAGCGAGTTGCTTCGCTGCAGCTCCTCTCATCTCCTTCGTCCTTTCTGACCTTGTCAGCATTTTTGAATAATTAACTTCACATGATTCAATTAGCAGTGGTGTGTGCTTGTACTGTGAGAACATTGCATAGACATAATGATTGTCAGAGACCTTGTGTTACCAGTTTTCCTTTCTCTTACTGCAATTGACTTAAGGTGATTAACTCCCTTGAGAGTAACACAAACCCCTGAAAACTAATCTCAAAAGGATTTCATCGATGATGATGCAAATTTCAGCCTGAGAACAGCGGCGGTGGTTTTTCTTGACACCCTTTTGAAATGCTAAATATCATAATTTTATGCTGTATAATGTTTACCTTACATGTTGTTTGTGTGGGTGTGCGTGTGTGTGTGTGTGTGCGTGTGTGTGTGTGCATTTCTCTGTTAAGTAATCAAACAAACACAATGCAGAGAGTGAGTGAGGTAGATATCCAGCTTGCTTGGTTTATGGACTTGTAGAAGACGGGCCCAGTAGAGAGAGAAAGAGAAGATGTGACTGTTGTGCACCTCTTTGATACTGTAAACCTTGCTATGGTACCCCTGGGTATTGACTCTGTTATGTAAACACCCATTGATTCTCCTGCATCTGCCATTTTGGAAGAGATACAATATATTTCCCCAGGGGCTGGGAATTGTTCCCTTGTGCGGCGCCCCCCCCCCCCTCACACACACAAATCCAAAGTCATGTGTTGATTATTTCTGAGCTCATTCATACATTTACCCTCCCTAATGCCATACTTTTCTCTCTCTCTCTCTGCTTTTCTTTCCGGCTGTGTCTGATAGCTGCACATCATCCGAGCAGCCGGCTGCTACAACTGCGCTTTCTCTCACTCTCCCCGTCTTCTTTCTACTTCCTTACACTACTTCTCTACACTGCCATTCTTGCCTTTTTATCTCCTCTCCTGTTCTCTCCATCCTTTTCAGATTGTGGCATATCAGCCCTATGATAAAGCAGTAGACTGGTGGTCCTATGGAGTACTGCTGTATGAAATGCTGGCAGGACAGGTAACACTCGGCTTAATCCTAACAATAGAGCCGTGTGCACAGACACTTAAGCCTCCAGTGCTTGTCCTTTGTAATCACTTCAAAGGACTTTCAAGAGAACTTTGATTTCAATATATTTGCTTTCAATTTGCCCACAGGTTACTCTCTTTTTCCTTTTCTCTCTGTCTTTTCCTTCCAGCCACCATTTGATGGCATTGACGAGGAGGAGCTGTTTCAGTCCATCATGGAGCAGAGTGTGGTATACCCAAAAAGTCTCACTCGTGAAGCGGTCTCTATCTGCAAGGGAGTAAGCCAACATTCTTCTGATTCGTATAACTTTTAGCACAAAGACAGTTGAGACAATTGCAAATGTAACTCAGAAAATATGACTTACTCCTATATTTCTAAAATATATTTAAATAAATACAGCAAAGGTTAACCATGTACATTTTTGACTGCTTCAAGTAATAGTGCAACATTTTAGGAAATGTGCTCATTTGCTGTCTTGGTGAGAGTCAGATGAGAAGATACTCATATCTGAGCCAGCAGCCATTAGCTTAGCTTAGCTTAAAGACTGGAAACAGGGGGAGGAGCTAGCCAGACTCTGTCTGAATGTAAAGCAGGCTCACTAATTAACACATTGAATCTTGTTTGTTTAATATGTACAGAAAATGGGTGGTTTTGCAGAGGGGTTTTTGTGCCAGACTACTTCTTTACCGGGTGCAGTGACTTTCTGAAGACTTGTTGCCATGAAATAATAGAAACATAAACCCCCTTAAAACCACAAATAGTCATTTTTACACTAACGTTTTTGTACGGATTAAACAAACAAGACAAAACATGGTAATAAGTGAGCTTTAGATGTGCTTGTAGGCAAATTTAGTTACCTTCGGACCGAGCCAGGCTAACTGTTTCCCTGTGTTTCCTGTGTTTATGATAAGCTAAGCTAACAGGCTGCTGGCTGTAGCTTTATATTTAGCATACAGGCTATAGTGGTATTCATCTTCTCATTTCACTCTCAGCTTGAAAGTGAATACCACACTTTCAATATACATGTAAATCAGACAAATTAAATTACTTGATAGAACATTTAAAATGCATTTGAATAACATTTAAAGCTTACCATGTACATTGTTGACGAAGAAAAGCAGAGCATATATGATTAATTTGAATCCCATGGTTACCACAATATTTTTCTTTTCTTATTCTCTCCTTCGCTCTTTCCCAAGCTCCTGACGAAGCACCCAGCCAAGCGTCTGGGTGGCGGAGAGGATGCAGAGACAGAAATCAGGGAGCATCCGTTCTTCCGTTGGATTGACTGGGACCGTCTGGAGAGACTGGAGATCCAGGCGCCCTTCAAACCCAGAACTGTTAGTTGAACAGAATACAGACTCTACAGACTTTTCTTTCTTTCATTCTTTCTTTCTTTCTTTCATGGCACTCTCTTCCTTCCTCTTTCTCTCTATCTCTCTGAGGACACTTTTAGGGAATTGTAGCTGTCACTTTCTTCCATCTGTCTCCTCTCGCTCAAACTCCCACGCTTTCCCTCATTTCCCTGCGTGCTTTCTCGCTCAGCCGTCCTCATTGTGTTGGCCATTTCTTCCCCTCTTCTTCTCTCAGTTCAAATGGCCGTGTCTCCCCCCCCCCCCCTCTTCGCAATTCCCTTCTCATTTCTCTCTTTCATCACCTTTGCTAGTTCCTAGAGATGGGCTTTCAGCGCTCGGGAACAGTCATAACAGACAGGACCCCCTGACCTTGGGGTCCTGCATACTCCTATATTTAAATTGTCTGTCATCATTAGCCCGCCACATGCCAATTTTTGGCCCCGCCGGCCAAGAGTGAGGTGTGCCTTGAGTGAGCTGAGTATGCTCAGAGGTTAGAGGCCAGGCCCATTAGCCAAATGATATTCATATCATCCAGCAGAGCGGCTGTCAAGGAGCAGCACCGGAGACGTGAGCAGCTTTCTTCCTACTGTAGGTGTGGTACAGAGCTCCTTAGAGAGAAAACGAGGGTGTGGGTGAGAAAAAGAGATACGTAGGTAGAGTCTTTTTATAATTATGGGTTGTTGTTTTTTCCGGAGGAAGATAATGATGTGTATACAATCAGTATTAATCACAAATGTGTGAACATGCAGGCTAATCTTCTCCTCTTCTTCATCAGGGTGGAAGACAAGGAGAAAACTTCGACAACTTCTTCACAGCAGCTCCGTCAGCGCTCACTCCCTCTGACCCGGATATACTAGCAGCCATCAACCCGGAAGACTTCCAGGGCTTCACCTTCCAAAACCCAGACTTTGCCCCCTCGCCACTCACGGCTGTTTGAAAATGGCTTCCAAACCTGCTCCAACAACCCCTCCAAGTGTACCCAAACTACCCTGTTCATCCACATTATAGTAGTTTTATAACAAAGAATTTGAACATGAGAACTAGCGGCGAGTATTAAAGACAGGTCTCATAACCAAATTCTGACGTTTACAAGAAAATGCCAAGACACCTTTATATTCATGCACTCTCTTTCATGTATGTATTATGTATCGATAGTCACAGAATATGTTGCAGCAATGCAAACAAAGCCAGTATTATACTGTAGATTTCCATCTTAGAGTTTTTTGTAAGACATCCCTTAACTTGATAAACGAGTACTGTAGTATGAACCTGAGAAATGCATGCAGTGTTTTTAGAATGAATTGCTCTGACACACTAGATTTATGTAGCTATAGATTTTCCAAGAAAATATACATGTGTAACTTTAAAACCAATTTATCTCAAACTTTTGCCATTACTTGGATTGAAGTCATCTGGTGATGTGAGAATTTTACAAAACAATTACAAGTCAGCTACACAGGCCACATAGCAGGCCACTTGTTAATCAATTTGTAGTTCATAGACATGAATACAAATGTTTCTTAGCAGGTTTATTCCAGTAAAATATTATGTTTGTACACAGTACAGTAATTCAGCATCAGAAGCACTCTGTGTCTTTCTAAATATCTATCTCACTCTATTTGTGTGTAAGTGTTGACACTTTGACTACGATGCAAACTGAGCCAGTAGCCTTTCTTTTGCTTTTTTAGACTGGCATCCTGTGGAAGAGCTTGGTCAGACCTGTGAGTTTAACGTCACACCGGTGACCTCAGATGACCCACTGATATGCTGAAACAATGCAGCCATTTGACAGTTAATGCAGGCTGCAGTGCTGCCC